TTTTGTATACTGTTGTTTGTCTTTTGGTCTTTTTTCTTCTTTTTTTTTTTTTTTTTGGCCATGGCGTTGTCAGTTTATTTTCGGCTTATGAGTGTGAATATCCCATTGGTATCTTTCAGACCGCCTCTCTTTTACAGACAGCTCTTTTAGACAGTGGTAATACATTAAGGATTTTATACAAATTGCGTATATTGTGACTCGAAAAAGGATTTTACCTTTTTGTTGATGAGGCTATAATTGATGAGATGGTAATCGAGTGCATATATTTATATGAATCCTTTATTTATTTTAAAAGAACTTTGAAATCTAAAAGACCTTCTTCTTCAGCTACCGTCAGAAAACCATCAACATAATGAATGTGATTTGGAATAATAGAGGGAGAACCCGTGTCAACATATAAAACTTGTTATCATAGTTATAGATATAATTGCTTGAGGTATCCGTATTTGGATCACTCATCATCTATTGTGCTCTTTCCAGTAAAATATTTATAAACACTGAGCCTCGGAGCACCAGACTACATATACGGAAGTATGGTTCCCCTACAAAGACAGAAGTAATGCAAAGCATAATAACAGTGTGATGAATTTTCTCGGGAATTTAAGATTCTATCACATTTCATCGGCTACCAGTATTTGAGATTAAATGGTGTTCGTTAACAGTGATCTGCTGGGGTCAAACGTTTTTTCGGTCATTAGTTATATTTGTAGCCAAAATACCTTCACATATAAAATTTTGTGTAAATTGAAAGTAGACTATCGATTGCCAGGACATCTACAAACAATTATAAACTAAAATGTCTTCAAAAGAGGAAACCACACTTTTTGCTATTTATACACTCGGATATACATTTTTTAGTCTGGTAATGATAGCACCACCAACTGAATTTGTGGCTGCCGGATTGACTGTACAAAATATGTTGTCGGGTTTCCTTGGGAGTGAAGAACTTGGTTTTATCTACTTTCACATAAAAAGAACAGCTGCGACCCTTTTGATTCATTCATGTTTTCCATTAGGTAATCATAAACGAGCATTGTTTTTCGTTCTATTATCTGACCTAAGAACGGTTCATCAAAAGGAATTGAAAAATATGGCCGTGTTTACACCACAAAATCTACTCGAGTACAGACAAACCGATGCACCTAGGAAATTTGTAAGGCATGGCTGGACCTAGATACATAAAAGTTATACATGTATGTAGTTTTTGTTCCAGAAAATTAAAAACTTACCTGGATTTGGGTGTGCATTTTTTCCAGTCTGTAGAATATAGCAAAATAGACCTTATCGCTTTTTCGAAATCTGCGCCACTTGAACCGAGAATCTGCCTCTCTTAAACTATTGATGTCATACAACACTTTTCCACTGTGGCGTCAGATATTTTCTATTGTGAAGTCAAAATATAACGGGAACTTTTGTGATGTCCAGTAATGGCGGACAAATAGCGATAAGGTGTATAACTATAAGCAAACACTTGAGTTTCATTTGATACAGTCCACTCTGTTACATCGGAGCGTCTTTTTACCACAGAACACCACAGAATACCACAGAACACTCAAAATGTACCACAGAACTACATAAATTACAACAAAACTACTGAAATATGCCACAGAACAGTAAAATTACTTTATAAAACGCAAATCTAATAATTCCGAATTATATTATTTCTTTAATTCGGGTTACACCAATGACATGATGATTGACTGGATGAGATAAAAATGATCATTACTTTTTTGTTATTTGCCATATTTTGTTTACATTTGGAGACCTTTAATTGAGACACTAAACTAATGCATTGTAAAAATGAAAATCTAAAATAAACATTTAAAAAAATAGTTTTTAGCAACAAAAAAATTACTGTACGGTTTTCTCAATCGCTGATCAATATACGCTTTGAATATATTGAACTGATCGATAAAAAGTGTTAATAACTCTTTTGTTTTGCAATATTTTTTCGTGAAATTAAGAAAGAGCTAATATTTCTCATATGTAACTAGGTGTGATAATTTAAATGACATGTTAATTGGTGATTACCACAAGTGTCAAAATTGGTTAATCTAATTAAATTTCGGTACTTTAATTGTGTCGGTGAACTTGCTATGGTCAACATTAATTTTGGACTAAAAAATATAGAATATATATGTAAATGCTCAGTTCAACGATTTCTAAATGCATACAAAATTTGGTAAAAATCCGAAATATTGTTAAATGATTGGAGAAGATACACACACAACATAAGATTCAAAAAACAGTCATCGAGCTTGAACTTTTAATTGACAATTAAAAAGACACACTTATAATATGTTATAAGTCAACTCAAATATTACTGTCCTACAACAACTTTAGATATCTTTTTGAAGTTTTATATATAACTCTATAAACGGAGAAAACTTTGATGTACACACATTCGCCAATTGTTTGAACAACTCTAGATATCAGCTTAACAAATTACTTCATTAATCACTTTAATAAATAATTACGTAATGTATCTAAACATTTTCAAAAATGAATTAAAATTACAAAAAAGATTAAAATGTATTTAAAATATAAATGTCACAAATATAAATATATTATGGTTTTAATAGCTAGGGGTTTTCGGTATGATCCCAATTTATATTGGCCATTCAGTTGGGTGGCGTAGCGTTAATGAGTCGATCCTAAATAGAAAAATTAAATTTTATTTGAATAATGAATGTCAAATTATAAAAAGAATTAACAATTGCACGATAATAATGTCTGAAGTATTATTATTTCGATGTTCTGTGGTGTTCTGTGGTATTCTGTGGTATTCTGTGGTATTCTGTGGTGTTCTGTGGTGTTCTGTGGTAAAAAGACGCTCCCCTGTTACATAGTTTAAATCACCTATTGTTTGCAGATATCTATTGTCCATCTATTGTCCATTTAAATCAATACAACTCACAACATTTATTATATGAGGGGAGCTTCTCAAACCTCTTTCCCAACTCAGTTTATTTTGGCACTTTCTGCAGGGATGGAAAAAAAAATGAAAAGCAAAATCCAGTTAAGTTTTTAATATTCTGAAACTTAAGGATGTTTGCTTGTCATGTTTTGGAATTTTTGTCAGATTTTCGGAATCCTCTGGTTTCATCCATTTGAATGCCTTAAAAATTTTTGCCCATTGACCCCCATTTTTCTTTTGATAAATCTTTTACATGTATAATTATAAGCCATCTGTAAAAGTCTTATGAAATTTTATTTATTTTTGAATAATTTTTGAGAACTTTAACTGGTCAATGATAAAGCTATGAGAAATAAAGAGAGAACATTTTCCCACCAAAATTTCAATGGCTAGTATCTCGAAAACAAGCAAATTGACCTATATATTTTTTTTACTCTATTTGTTCCTTAATTAATCCCCTATCAATATATACTAGTGTTATGGAAAGCTAATTATTTTGAAACTGAGTAGCGAACTTCCTTAAAATGCATTTAAATTATATATATCTAGGTCCAGCCATGTTCTAAAACTTTTCCAGATGCACTGGTTTGTCTGTACCCAGAGTGTAATTTATGGCGTAAATATGGCCATATTTGCTAAAAGTTTATGATGGACCTTAACTGGTTTAATCAGAGACATATAAAATAAATATATACATGTATAAAACATGTATTATACATGTTATATGTCTATGGTTTTATAAAGGATGATGTGTCAATTTCTTGGTTCAATGCTAAATTTAAAACATATGGAAATTTTTGTAGAAAATCCACAGCTTTTCCTCTTGAATTCATATATTTGACAGTAACAGTTATTTTCTTAATAAATAGGGGATTACAGCATGTAGTGCTAGCAATTATTTCCCTAAAACAAGCTTTGAAATAAGATATTTTTTAAAATAACTTGATACAAATTTGGACCTATTCAGGTACACCTTTCAGGGTGCATTAAACTTAACTTTTATTGTAAAGATTGTTTAGGAATTTTTGTAAACATAAAAGCTAGCGCAACATGTACAAACAAGTGAGCAGTCAATGTTTGAAATGTTATAAAGAAAATCTCTGTATATAAAATAATTTTAAAAAGTCTGTATTCTGTAAAAATCTTGACTTCATTTGCAACAAAATTCTCATTTTCTATTACATTTTAAAGAAACAAATATCATTGCAATGAAACAATAGATATTATTGCTGTGAGTGATGTTTTCCTTGTACATGTTGTACATATGTGTACAAAATAGCCAATCTCTTTTATTCAGAATTTTTGTTGTTATATTATTGCACTTTAAAAATTCATAATACACAGGCCTACAGAAGGGGTCATAAATCTTAAAATTGTTTTTTTCAACACATTTTAAACTTTGACAGAAAATAATCAGTAACAAACAAAATGTTAAAGGCAGGATTATCAGTCTTTGTTTGTCCGAAAAAAAGGCTGTACATGGTTTCAAGAAGTTACCAATTTGACATCAAACTAATTGGTAATGTTTTATATTGACTGTATTAAAATATTGTATTACAGTATGAATTAAAATAGTTTAATGTTTTTTTTTCATTTTAGGGTATTTTATAGGACTAAGATATGTCTCGCCTCTTCAACATGTTTACTGGTTTCCTTACTTTGCATGGTATTGGCAGATATATTTGACAATTAGTCTCTTTATTATTATATGTGCATCAGCTGTTGTGTTTTACTGGTCTACAGACAAATGGTCCAGACATCCTATTGCTAAAGAACTTAGTTATCTTACCAATAATGCAGGAAGTTGGAGATCAGTGGCAGCCTCTATAAATGTTGAGTTCCGTCGTTTTGACAAATTTACGTCTGGCCCACATGGGAGAAGAGTTATTGTCACAGACTCTTGGGTTTTGAAAACATCCACATACTTTTTAAATATAGCACATCAGAATGATATTCATCTAACTTTATCCAAATCAGAAGAACACTCTCTTTCGTATGAAAGTATGACATCAGTGCAGTATCTGAATATCTCAGTAGTTAGTATCAACAAGAAAGTTAAACCATTTCAAATCAGGCAAGTCTAGTAGTTAGTATCAACAAGAAAGTTAAACCATTTCAAATCAGGCAAGTCTAGTAGTTAGTATCAACAAGAAAGTTAAACCATTTCAAATCAGACAAGTAAAGTAATTAGTATCAATAAGAAAGTTAAGACTATTTCAAATCAGGCAAGTCAAGTAGTTAGTATCAACAAGAGTTAAACCATATCAAATCAGGCAAGTCATGTAGTTAGTATCAACAAGAGAGTTAATCTATTTCTAATCAGGCAAGTCAAGTAGTTAGTATCAGTAAGAAAGTTAAACCATTTTATATAAAGCAAGTCAATTAGTTTAATAGTATCAATAAGAAAGTTAACCAATTTCAAATCAGGGAAGTCAAGTAGTTAGTATCAATAAGAGAGTTAAACTATTTCAAATCAGACAAATCAAGTAGTTTGTATCCATAAGAAAGTTAAACCATTTCATATAAAGCAAGTCAAGTAGTTAGTATCAATAAGAAAGTTAAGATATTTTAAATCAGGCAAGTCATGTAGTTAGTATCAACAAGAGAGTTAAACCATATCAAACCAGGCAAGTCACTGTTATAGTTAAGTTAATTTACAATTTAAGCAATTATAAGTATAAAAAAACTACAGTTGAGTGTTTCAATAAAAAATAAAGGGATAAGATCTATTAATTTCTGACACAAAACCCCTAAAAGCACATAACATTACACAAGGCAGAGAACATCGTTTTGTTGTTTGTAATCTCAAAGCCACAGCAATGTCTTCAGCCTTCAACACAGAAAAAATTTCTCACCTTATTACAAATTCAAGATGGCCCCTAGCACCCATTTGAGGGGAATAGAAACCCATGAATGTTTTTGATATTACATTTTTATACAACCGCAAAAAATTTGCAGTCTTATATTGGTATCACGTCATCATCATCGTCGTCGTCCGAAGACACATTGGTTTCAGGACAATAACTTTTGTTTAAGTGTATAGATTTCTATGAAATTTTACAATAAGGTTTATGACAACAAAAGGAAAGTTGGGATTGATTTTGGGGGTTATGGTCCTAACAGTTCAGGAAAAAGGGGCCAAAATGGGGCCCAAATAAGCATTTTTCTAGTTTCCAGACAATAACTTGTGAAATGGTTTATGGATCTCTCTGAAATTATACCACAAGTTACCATATCACAAAGGGATGGTAAGCATTTGCGTTGGGGGGTTATGGCTTAAACCGTTTAGAAATTAGGGGCAAAAAGGGGAAAAACAAGGGTTTCCAGGTTAATGGTCAATTACTTAATTTTAAAGCAGTGTAAGGGAGGTAATTCAAACACATATTTTCAAATTACCTCCCTTACACTGCTTGTAAATTATCTATTAAGAAATCTATTGTCTTTAGGTGATTAGCTGTCAATTTATTTTTAGAAGTTACTTTTTTAAAAATGTTTAATAAAGGTAATTTGATTATAGCCATGACTATGTATGTGAAGGAATTTTATTTTTAGATATTACTATTTAATGTTGCTGATGGAGGCTTTTTAATTTAAGGCATGATTATGATGTCATTTTCTATTTTAAAAATTATTTAATTTTAGCCATGATTATGTATGTGAAGGAATTTTATTTTTAGCTCACCTGGCCTACAAGGCCAAGTGAGCTTTTCTCATCACTTGGCGTCCGGTGTCCGTCGTCTGTCGTCGTTAACTTTTACAAAAATCTTCTCCTCTGAAACTACTGGACCAAATTTAACCAAACTTGGCCACAATCATCATTGGGGTATCTAGTTTAAAAAGAGTGTCCAATGACCCTGCCTGCCAACCAACATGGCCGACATGGCTAAAAATAGAACATAGGAATAAAATGCAGATTTTGGCTTATATCTCTTAAACTAAAGAATTTAGCACAAATCTGACAAGAAGTAAAAATGTTCATCAGGTTAAGATCTATCAGCCCTGAAATCTTCAGACAAATCAGACATTCCTTAGTTGGGTTGCTGCCCCTGAATTGGTAATTTTAAGGAAATTTTAGTTTTTATTTTGCGGTTGTATATTGGTATGACGTTGGCGTCATCGTCGTCCGAAGACACATTGGTTTTCGCACAATAACTTTAGTTTAAGTGAATGGATCTCTATGAAAATTTACCATAAGGTTCAGTACCACAAAAGGAAGGTTGGGAATGATTTTTGGGGTTATGGTACCAACAGTTAAGGAATGAGGGGCCAAAAAGGGGCCAAAAATAAGCATTTTTGTAGCTTCCAGACAATAACTTGTGTTTAAGTGTATGGATCTCTCTGAAATTATACCACAAGTTTCCATACCACAAAAGGATGGTTAGGATTGGCTTTGGGGGGTTATGACTCAAACCGTTTAGGAATTAGGGGCAAAAAAGGGGGAAAAACAAGGGTTTCCTGGTTAATGGACAATTTAAAAGCAGTGTAAGGGAGGTAATCCAAAAACAAAATTGTACAATGTTGTACAATGTTGGATTACCTCCCTTACACTGCTTTTAAATTATCTATTTAAGACTTTTATTATGTATTTAAATGGGTAATAATGGTTGCAAACTCCATTGGTAATTTGAATTGAGATTATGACTATATCTTGAGGGAAAGAATTTTTTTTTTGAAAAAGAGGGAGGGGGGGCAATTTTTTCTCATTTCAGATTTCAGAAATTAAACAAAATTTCTTCACTTATTTTTTTTTTGGCTAAAAAAAGGTGGGGGGGGGGGGGTCAATATGCAACAGCATAGTGTATTGCACAAAAGCAAAAAATTGAATATAAATTCAAATCATATAACCAATTCTAAGTTCTTTGACTACAATTATTCTTTGTCAGAAACCTATTATGTGTGAAATATTTAATTACAATCCAAATTCAGACCTGTATCAAGCTCGAATATTGTGTCCATTTTTACCCCAACTGTTCAGGGTTGGACCTCTGCGGTCGTATCCAGCTGCACCAAGCGAAGCAATTTATTGGTTATTAACTTGAATATTATTATAGATAGAGATGAACTGTAAACAGCAATAATGTTCAGCAAAGAAAGATCTACAAATTAGTCACCATGACCAAAATGGTCAATTGACCCCTTAAGGAGTTATTGCCCTTTATAGTCAATTTTTAACAATTTTTTGTAAATTTTTGCAATCTTTTACAAAAATCTTCTCCTCTGAAACTACTGAGACAAATTTTACCAAACTTGGCCTTAATCATCATTAGGGTATATAGCTTAAAAAATGTGTCTAAAATAGAACATAGGGGTAAAATGCAAGTTTTGTCTATTATGTTGTGAACCGTTATAAATAAACAAAATCTGAAAGGAGCAAAAATGTTCAGAATAATGAGCTCTACCAATTGTCCATATACGTCAAAACTGTTAGACAAATTCTTATAGGCGTTATTGCCCATAAATGACAAATTTTACTATTTTTTTCATTTTTGCCTATAATCATGAAAACTATGATATTTAGAGAGAAACATTTTTTTTTGTTATGCCTTATATGATTTAAATTATAATAGATAAATGAACACTTTAAATCACAGAAATGATCAGCAAGCCAAGATCTATTAAAAAGTCAAATTTTGTCGATATAGTTAGTAGACTGTCACTCTTCATAAGAGTGATTGCCCTTAAATGAGATTTTTTTTTACCCTCTTTTGTTTTTTGAGCAAAAACTAAAGAAAATAGAGAGAAATTAAACAGACTAAAAGATCAGTAATACAAGATCAACAAAATAGAGATTTTTGTCATGAAGTCTATTCTTGTCTACAATGTTGGAGAGTGTCCTTTGTTTGATACATGTATGCACATACACCAAGGTGAGCGACGAGCCTCTAGTTAGATATTACTATTCAATGTTGCTGATGAAAGTGTTTTAATTTTAGGCATGATTATAATGTCATTTTCTATTTTAATACTTTTAGGATGTATTTAAATGGGTTTTTATGGTTGCAAAGTCCTAGCTGTCAATTTATTTTTAGAAGTTACTTTCAAATGCTGATGAAGAAATTTTATTTTTAGATATTACTTTTAAAAGTTGCTGATGAAGGTTTTTTAATTTTAGCCATGACTATGATGTCATTTTCTATTTTAATACTTTTATGATGTATTTAAATGGGCTTTTATGGTTAAAAAAAAGCATTTTTCTAGTTTCCAGACAGTAACTTGTGATTAAGTGTATGGATCTCTCTAAAATTGTACTACAAGGTTCCATACTACAAAGGAAAGACTGCAATTGAGTTTGATGGTTAATGCTAAAAGGGGGATTCAAAAAGTTTGGGGGGAAGGGGGGGTTTCCAATTTTTTTTTAAAAAGGTTCATATTTTTATTTTCAAAATTTTCAAAATTTCAAATTTTTGAAAAGTTTCAAGAAGAAATCTTCAATTGCACAGTATTGCGCATTAGATTTGTAAGATCTTTGACCACATTTATTTTGTGTCAGAAACCTATATTAAGTCAAAAATTTGATCACAATCCAAATTCAGATAGTATCAAGCTTGAATATTGTGTCCAAATTTGCCCCAACTGTTCAGGGTTCGACCACTGCGGTCGTATTAGGCTGCGCTCAGCGAAGCATTTTATTGGTAAATATAACAATTTAACAAGGAGAAGATTAAATCTAAGACATACATTTGCTGCATGCAGTAAGAGTTTAAATAGTGAAGACACATATATGTATAAGCATGGAAGTATTATATTGACTATAATACTTCCATGGTATAAGTGAACAGTTGTATAGGGATTCATTGCATAAAAGTATCATTTTACACAGAAATGAAATAAAAATTTACCACATGTAATTTTCAGAAGTTCTGAATCAGAACCATATATATATTTATAAGTGCACTTTAATAATTCAGTTTTTGAAAGTTGGTCCTTGATACACTTAAGTCACAAATGACAACATATACTTCTACTCTTTTCAGACTGAACTCATTGGAATACAGAGATTTGAAAGAAAAGCTATCAGGGCCAATTAGAAATGCTAGGAACATTGTAATAAAACAATCTTTAAGTGACCAGTTTTTGGAAGCATTCCATGAACAAGTGAATTTGAATCATGACTTTCGTTTGCCTTTAAATATGGTAAGTATATCTCCGAGAGCAGAACATTTGCAGCTTCATGCCAGTATCTAAGACATATTTTGTAATATTCGTTGGGCCGTAAATGGCGATATTTATGAATAACAAAAATCAGCAACGTGTTCACTTGCATTCTCATGCATAAAACTGACTAAAGTAATATGGGGTTTACACAAAGCATATCAGACTGTTATGAAACAACTCAATTATTAGAACCAGAAGTAAATCAAAGTATGCAAAGTACTAATGGAATAATGTTACTTATGCTTGATTATTTTATTACAAAATACATCATTTAAACTTTAAGGAAGAATTAATTTCAATTAAAAATCCTCTTACTTTAATTAAAGACTAAAACAGAAACAGGGAAATGGTAAACAAACTTAATATATCATTTACTTTTCTTGTATAAGCATAATGTAGTAAATAACTGATGGCCTTCTCACAAAGTTTGTATTTTGTACTTTTTACTTTTAAGTATTATACAATAATTAAATCCTCACCCGACAACAGGGAGAAATAACATAAATTCAGAAATTTGCTAGATGATTTATTTGTTTATATTTAATGTTCTTTCACTCCGCTACCTCTCCCTCCCCTTTATGACTGTCAAAAAAAGGACATTTGATTAAATCTTTATGAAAATTTAAAGATATCTTTATAAAGAAAGTAATGAACTATGAGTTAGGAACTGCTTTAAGTTAAAAGAACAGGGCAAGGTTGCACAATTTATAATATTTGAAAACTTGGAACTGTCTCAACTTTAATTGAAAATTTATAAAATAATACATTTTTTTTTGTACCAAATTTTTTTTTTTACATATATTCTGTACAAATGCATTATCTATTTGATATTAAGTTATATTCAACATGCCCTAGTTGTTTGCAAATTAAAGATAGCTCTGTATAACAATCCATTTATGTTATTTGATGTTAACTCATTTTTCAAAGTGTCTGTTTGTCTTATCTTTTCAGGATTGTGATAATTGTATTGGATGTATGTATCTGTATGTCTCATCTTTTCAGGATTGTGATAATTGTATTGGATGTATGCAGAAAGAATCTGATGTGAAGCTTGTAAAACTTTGTGATGATCCAGAAGCTGGTAATTGTGTCCAGTGTTTTTGCCGACCTATGTGGTGTTTAGAATGTATGGGTAAATGGTTTGCTAGTCGTCAGAATCAACAAAGGCCAGAGATATGGATGAGTGGAAAATCTCCCTGTCCTACATGCAGAGCAACATTTTGTGTTTTAGATGTCTGTAAAATTGTTAAATAAATGTTCAAATATATAAAAGACTGTATTTCAAAAATTGCACCTAACTATTGTACATGAAAAAGCATGTTCAAATTTTATTTCACATGACAACTTGAAACCCCTGTTTACTGGGAAAGAAATGTTCTTTAGAAATTATGAAACTGGGGTTATCAATTTTTATACGACCGCAAAAAGTTTGCATTCGTACAATGCTATCACGTTGTCATCATTATCTGAAGACATTTGGTTTCCAGGCAATAACTTTAAGTGTATGGATCTCTATGAAATTTAATCAAAAGGTTCAATATCACAAAAGGAAGGTTGGGATTGTTTTGGTAGGTGGTGGTCCCAACCGTTTAGGAATTAAGGGCCAAAAAGGGCCCAAAACAAGCATTTTTCTAGTTTAAGGACAATAACTTGTGTATAAGTATTTTGATTGCTCTGAAATTGTACCACAAAGTTTAATACCACAAGTAGAAGGTTGGGATTCATTTTGGGGGTAATTGCCTACACCGTTCAGGAATTAGGGGCCAAAACTAGCAAATTTCTAGTTTTCAGACAATAACTTGTGTTTAAGTGTATAGATGTCTCTTAAATTTTACCACATTTTACAAAAATCTTCAAATATTTTTTTTAGGAGGGGGGGGGGGGGGGGGGGGGGGGGGGTAAAAAAAAATTTTTTGGGGTGGGGGTCAATTTTTTTTCCTCAAGATTTAAGAAATTATCAATTTTCCAAAAAAAATATTGGGGGGTCACAATTTATTTTGCTAATTCTTTGTATATAGTCTGAAAACAGATTAACTAAGTATTGTGCAACAGCACAGTGTATTGCACAAGAGCAAGAAATCTTCAATTGAATATAAATTCAATTCATATAACCAATTTCAAGTTCTTTGACTACATTTATTCTATGTCAGAAACCTATAATGTGTCAAATATTTAATTACAATCCAAATTCAGACCTGTATCAAGCTTGAATATTGTGTCCATTTTTGCCCCAACTGTTCAGGGTTGGACCTCTGCGGTCATATCCAGCTGCGCTCTGTGAAGCAGTTTATTTTTCCTTGCAGGGAAAATACTTTTTTCTTTTTAAATAATCAACATTCCAGTAATATAAAGATCTGATTTTAATCTAGACCATGTCAAAAGGTGTTATTTTTCATGATAATTACAGCAGCTGATGAGGTTTTTGATACAGCGTAATTCTAAAGTTATTTGGACAAACAGAATTTTGTTTCAGGATAATAGGATTATAATCGAAATAATTTTATCGTATTTACAGACTTGTTTTCAGAGTTTCAAATGACAATTTTTCTTGTCACCCTTAGGCATGATAGGAATTATTATACCCAAATCTATAGTAGGAGGCTATATTAAAATCACCTGGCTGCTGTCTGTTCTTCCATCAATATTTTTGTCACACTACTGAACAGAATGACTTCATATTTGGTCAGCAGCAAGACATTGGTAAGTTGTTATGAGGATCTGTCAGACGACTTCATCTCCTTGTTAAAGAAATTAAATTATTATTGTTTTCAATGCTCTTATGAGGACAAAAACAAAGCTAAAATTCTGTTTTATATTTTAAAATGAACAAATGAAGTAATTTTTAGATTGTTTTGCTTGGTATAATAATGGTATTTAAGTATCAGGCAACAATGACATAGGCACAACATGATTACAATAATGATATCTAGATAACATTTCCTGATCCATCCAAGTCATCAACCTTCAAAATTAATCTTTTAATAAAAAAAGTCCTTTTTAGCTCACCTGGCCTAAATGGCCATGTGAGATTTTGCCATCATGTAGCGTCTGTCGTTGTCCATCCGGCTGTTGTCATTAACTTTTTTAAAATCTCCTCTGAAAATAATAGGACATATGTAACCATAACTTTACCTTGATATTCCTTAGGTTTAGGGTATCTATCTACTATTAAAATATTATATCCAGGGATTTGATCCATCGTCAAACATGGCCGCTGTTGCTAAAAATTGAACATCAGGAAAAAATGCAGTTTTTGGCTTATATCTCAAAAATTAAAGCAGTAATAGCAAATCTGACAGGTAATGATCAGCAAGTCAAGGTCTGTCACCCTTGGAATTTTCAGAAAAATTTAGTAAATTACAAAGTTGTTGGCTTATAACTCAAAAACTAAAGAAGTTAGAGCAAACTGACATGGGGAAAATTGATCAGCAGGTCAAGGTTGTCTTCTTATGTGAAATTTTCAGAAAAATCAAAACCTCATATTGGAGTTATTGCCCCTGAAGTTTCTTTTTTTTTAGTGTGCAAATTTCACAGTATTCGGTTATTATCTTGAAAGCTATAACAGATAGAGACAATTTTTTTGCAGTTAAAATGTCCGAGATCGATAAATAAGTCCACTTGGCAGAAATTGTCAAATGTGTTATTGTCCTTGAAAGTCATATTTTACTTATTTTGTCAAATGTTTTTAAAAATCATCTCTGAAACTACTGGGCCAAATGTTACCAAACTTTACCTGGATGTTTCTTAAGGTATCTTCTTGAAAATTGTATCAAGGGATTTGATCCATCATCAAACATGGCAGCTGTTGCTTAAAATAGACATAGGGGTAAAATGCAGTTAGAACAAGTTTGACAGAGTATAAAATGATCAATAGGTCATGGTCTATCACCTGTCGAATTTTCAGAAAAATCTAACAATCTGTTGAAATGTCAATTTTTAGAATTTTTAATAAATTTCAGTTTGGCTTATATCTCAAAATTTAAAGCCATTAGAGCAAATCTGACTGGAGTAGAACTTATCAGCAGGTCAAGTTGTATTTTTTGCGGAATTTTCGGGAAAATCCAACAACCCATTTTGGAGTTATTGCCCCTGAAATGTATTTTTTTTTGCAAATTTCACAGTTTTTGGTTATTATCTTAAAAACAGATAGAGCAAAATTTTAAAATGTAAAAATGTCCAGAACAAATTTTTTTTTGTATGGAAATTATAGTTGATAAAGAGGTTCTTTCCAAAGTAAAAAATGTTTAACAAAATATATAGTCAATTGACTTCTTTTAGGAGTTATTGCCCTTGAAAGACATATTTTCAGTCATTTTTATGTTTTTGGCAGAAACTACATACTGAGAAATTAATAAGCAAAAGTATCCAGCAAAATAAGATCTACAATAGATCTGGCTTATATATCAAAAGTTCTGAAGTTCTGTCTGACATGACCTCACTTTCATGGTTCAATGACCACATAAATACTACAGTTTTTTTCATTGCAGATTATGAGTATAGGTCACCTATACTTTGTATACCGAAACATTGCAATGTTTACATATTGATCAGACAGGGTTCTCATTTCATGGTTTTGTATAAATCTACAGTTAGTTTTTGTGATTAAATCAGTTTCTCAGATATTTTAAGTATTATCAACTATATTTGGTGTAAATGATTGTAAGCTGTACATATAAATTAGAAGATGTGGTATGAGTGCCAATGAAACAACTCTCCATCCAAGTCACAATGTATAAAAAGTTAACAATTATAGGTCAAAGTACGGCCTTCAACAGGAGCCTTGGCTCACACCGAGCAGCAAGCTATAAAGGGCCCCGAAATGACTAGTGTAAAACATGACTGTATGACTGGGTTTATCTAACCGTGACTGAAGTTTGTGGATCAATGTTTAACTAATTTTGCACGATTTTTCTGAGATTATATAAGTAAAAAGTCAACTATATTTTTTGTATAGATTTATTGTAAAGTGTTCAGTCCATCAGACATTATTGTTCTAACCTTGGCCTCATTTTTTGGTTCAGTCGTCAGTGTTGATATTTTACCATAAAGTCAATTTTTCAGTCTTGATAAAGATTAGGTAAATATATCATATTGTGTTAAGATTCGTTGTAAACAGTACGTATATATGAAAATAAGGAGATGTGGTATGATTGCAAATGAGACAAGTTAACTATCCACTAAAGTTCAAATGAAGTGGATGTAAGCAATTATAGGCAACCGTACGGCCTTCAACAATGCAAAAAACCCATACTGTATAGTCGGCTATAAAAGGCCTCCACATGAAAAATATGACACAATCTAACCAGGTTAATCACACCTTATCCCATTTTCATGATTCATTGGTCAAAGTTGAGACTTTCCTGAACTATATAGTTTCTCATTCAATATCAAAATATGAAAGGTAAATTATACAAATTGTACATGCGCAGGCGCTTAGAGAATGGACCCCCCTTTTTAATTCATTTAAAGTAAAATTTCTTTATTTCTTTATTATTTTTCAGTTATTTCCCCCCTTTTTCTTGCTGTTATCTTTACGATTTAACAATAACAATTTTTATTTTTTCCCATTTTTAGCTTCAAATATAGAACTTTTAATCAAAACAGTTAAATAAATATTATTTTGAAAATTCTATATACAAATTTACAGAACCAAAACTAGTTGAATAAAGTTTTAATAATTTTAATAAACGTTTTTAGTAGCAGTTTTTCACTTTAGATGGATGCAAAAAAGATCGTGTTTCAAAAAACGCTGACGCAATGATCGGACTGTTGTAATTTGAATAAGGGTACAATTCTCATTGATGTACCCAAACATAAACTTTTAAAGGCCTGCATAAACAGGTGATCGAGTCTTATGGAAATAGAACAACCTTTGATCAGTAGGTGTAGAAGCCACTCCCATCGATCTGACAAGAATTGAAATTAATAACATTTCTATGATGTTTGTTCCATATCATTTTATTGAGGGTTTCTATTAAATCATTTGTTGTTTGGTGTCTTTAAAGCATGTAGACTGTATATTTTGATTATCATATCATCTTATTTAATTGTCTTTCTGCTAGCTTTGCCTATATATAATAATATGAGACTACCATAATCTCAGATAATAATATAAGGAGATGTAGTATTATTTCCTATGATTGATTATTGGTTGAGATTTGCCTAACTTTTAGTGGCAAGTTTTTCATACATACCCAGGACGAGAAAAAATCGGGTACGTCCTAAAAATTGGATCGATTTGAGTGAAGGAGAAAATTTGAACTTTCATCGGGAAACAACTGGAAATAAAAAGAGGCAGACGTTTTTCTTTACAACAGGTCTCTCTGAGGGCTTCTTTTACGTGTTGAGGACTTGGTACTTTCCCAACAGAAAATATTGCATTCAAGATAGGTTACATCTGAACAAAGGAGTAGGTCTGGTAAGGGCCGATTTTGGCCTCAAAATTCAGGTTCACCTAATGAAAGATTTTGGACACTTTTTAAAAACATAAGTGTCTACTTCAGTCGATTCAATTAGTTTATGTGAAATATTTGAACTGATTCAGTCATTAAAGACGCTCAAATTCGTGCTTAAATATGAAACATCTATCAAATATGCCATAATATGTCACTTTTCAGATGGTTTTTGTCAAAAATGAAAGTGGCCGCATCCGTGCTCATTCTCAACCTTTATATATGTTATGTATTGCCATCAAATACAACTTACATTTAAATATTAAGAATTAACACAAATGCAGCCACTTCCATTTCAGACGGAAACCGTCTAAAAATTAACCAAAATGCTAAAATTTCGAAGATTTCAGTAATTTAACATGACTTAATGATGCTAGTACCCGATACATGTGCATTGTATTGTCAAAAACAGCCCATATTTATGTAACAGAAGTATTCTTCCTTCCAATAAATAGCTAAAAATTTATATTTTAACAACTTTGTAAAACTGCTATACTTTGGGGCCAAAAAGGGGATTTACTTGGCCTACTCCTTTTTCAACAATGGACATACGCTCCTGTAGTAAGGTCAGCTTTTAAAGGTACCCAGTCAAGAACGTATATATACGTATAATACATATATATAAACTAAGACACGGACCATTCATCTTTTTGGGAGCTAATGATTTTTTTCTCGGGACAAACATTGTTTTCAACTTTAATCAAATACACACCTTTTTTGCTTGTCCCTGATGCAACAAATAGTTTTTGTTCAATACAATCAATTTATTTTGAAACAAAGCAATGCCTCCCAAAAAAGATGAATAGTTTGTGCCTTACAACTGAAGTTGGGGAAAACATAAAACAGGCCGAAGTTGATAACGGACTACTGGTTAAAAATTGGAACAGGCTTAGGATCATAAGAGTAGAACGGGTTAATATATTCAATTTGTTCAATTATTAAACTACAAATGTATTGTACCGACGAAAAAACGTCGTGCCGACGGTAGGTTTGTGGATTTCGCTCTTTTGTTGTTTTTAAAAACAACGTGTATTAAATGACAGAGTTAAAGGTAGAGACGAACTCTGTGAAGGATTGTCATTCCTCCTCATTTCCTGTTAACATCATCAATGTCGAGGCTATGTTTTAGAGGCTAGGAATATAACTTAAAACTTTCCTCCAGGTAACCAATAAACGGACAGGATAAAAACAAGGATCTATTTGAGTACACTCAACTCCATCCGTCCCGTTGAAAAGTAATATTCTTCACTGAAATAGAAAATAGTCCGAGAAACAACCAGTTCAGTTAAAGTCTTTTTCATGAGTTTGTGATACGATGTGAACGCTCTCAGTCTGTTCTGTTCGTCGTCGAAGAGCATACAGCGACTCTTGAATATCTATTGTAGTTATTAAACTCAGACTTATGATACCTTTTACACTGCCTCTTCTTCTATGATACCTTTTACACTGCCTCTTCTTCTATGATACCTTTTACACTGCCTCTTCTTCTATGATACCTTTTACACTGCCTCTTCTTCTATGATACCTTTTACACTGCCTCTTCTTCTATTCGTATTTTATTTTTTGTCATCGGAACCCCAAAAATAACCTGAGTATAAAAAGATATACTCACAACACGAGTTAATGTGAGGAAGTGTTGTCAAGTTGCGTTCCATTCCCTTGTTAGCTGAAGGAAATTTCTGGATTTTTCTAATCTTTTTTCATTTGCCATCAGGCACATAATCCATTCAGGAAGATGATTCTACGATTTTGAAATAATTGACTATGAATCATTGATTATTAATTAAAGATTTTTTTGTGATAAAAGTATAATTAGAACGAGTTTACATACTGTCTGAATGTCATATAGACATATTTATGAATCACATGCGTTGGTGTATAAAGTATAATATTTCATATTTTTCTTTTGTGCTTTGTATTTTTTTGAAGTAATTTTTACATGTTTTGGCTGTAAATTATGTCCTGGCATAAACATGGTTTTGTTGTATTTGTCCTCAAATTAGAAATTCTAGATATACCTGTGACCTGGATGAATAGATATACTAGTACACACTTACAGTTAAAAGTCACTTAAATATTGAATAAACAAGAAAACCATCCTCGATCACTTTGCAATTAAACGGTTGGTGATTTTAGGGTAGATGACACATATCTATTGTATGTAAAATGTAGAAACGTTAAATATGCATTCCCTTTAATAATGGCGACTGAAAGGAAAGTTAGAAAATTTTGTAGTGTTTGTGAAAAGGAAAATCTGGTGGCATGGAAATGTTTAAACTGTTTGGAATTACAATGTAGTGATTGTAAAAACGTTCACGAGAAATTTTCGATAAGTAAGAATCATATTCTTATACCTCTGGATAAACTAAGTCCTTCTATGATGGAGGAGCAAAAACTTAAAATTACGTCTGCTATCAACAATCAGGAACAATGTGACTTATTTTGCATCAACTGTAACATTAGAATCAAAACGGCAGATTCCATTATGGAACATCTCACACATAATTTGGACAGTTTTGAATCATTCAATAAGACTCTTCGAACAAATATCGACTCTCTGATATCGAAAATCACATTAGAAGTTGGATCTTCGAAATCTTACGATGACAAAAAACAAATGGTAGAGGAGAAAAGAGAAATGAAAAGAGAAATTCAAAAGAGGTATGAGGAAATAATATTAAGTTGCAAAGCTAATATGAAATCCCTACACAATGATGTGGATAAGTTTTACAAAGAAAGAGAAAAACATATTAAAGAAGCTAAGAAGAGAGTTGGGAAAGAAAGTACAAAGCTTGTCAAGGCCAGAGACAAACTCGGCATGTTGCAACATAAAGCGGAACTTCCACAATTACAAACTACATTTATAACCACAAAACAGCAACTGGATAAATACGTATCAACTTTACCCGTCGATGAACAAATAGTATTTCAAACTGGGGATCAAACAGCTGACGACATTTCACGAGATATAGGATCTCTCCACTACTCTATTGCAGCTTCTGGAAAATCAGGGAAAAGTTTTCAGTTGGAACTAATAGATAAATCAGGACCAACTAAACTACAGACCGTCTCCGTTATAACACCTTGTGGTGAGGTCGATGTCTGCATTGGGGGCGTCAAACACAAAACGATTCAACTGGTCAACCTTACTAGACCATCAACTCCACTCAACGAATTTACTGTGACATTTTATGATTTTACATCTTCAGCGGATGGCAGCTTGTTGTATATTACAGATTTCAAAAACAAATGCTTGCAAGCTGTGACAAAACTTGGAGATTTGAAAAATATTAAAACTTTCTCCCCGCTTTTGCCAACTTGTGTTCACGTTACATCTAATCATGAAATATACGTCGGAATAGTAGAATCTGACAGTCAAAACCTCGACGCAGATAGCAAAAGAGCAATACTGAAATTGACACCACAAGGAATTTTCAAGTCTGAGTTTGAGTTTGATTTGAGAGGCACTCGATTATTTACTGTGCCATATCGTTGCCATGTGAACGAAACAAACAAGTCCATTGTTGTAATTGACAAATACGATCCATCCACAGGACGAGTAATCGCATTTGACGAAACCGGAGAAGTAAAATTCAGATATTCTGGATTCACAGCTAGTTCCAAATTTAAGCCGTTTAGACCAACGAATGTCAGCTGTACACAAATGGGTGAAACAATTATTTGTGATATCGACAATCACTCTTTGCATATCATTGACAAACACGGATTCTTTATCCAAAATTTGTCGACTCTTGAAGTGGGTATACTGCACCCGCATAGCATGGCTATAGATTCATATGACCGTTTGTGGATTGGCACAGGCCACCCTCCGACTGATGCTAAACAAAAAGGTCAAATATACATCACTAGATTAACAAAGAAATAACTTCTAACGTTTTGCCGCATGAGGATGATTACTAAGTCTCTCGTAGGGATTGTTTAGATAAATCAGATACAGAAAAGTAGTCTATGTTTCTCCTGGAACAAACACGTTTTGCAGAAACGATAACAGTTTTGATTATGTTAAAATCAACTGCCTATTCATTTACAACATGAAAGTCAAACACAACCGACTATTTAAAAAGTATATGCACTAATTATAAGAGATTTTATTTTATACATTCATGTGTCTTTAAAACTTCAAAATAGTTTTTATCTACTGTAACTATTGTGACATTATGTTTGCTACTACATGTATAAATGAAAAAAATAACGATGATAAGTGAAGGTAAATCGCACAAATATGATATTTTCACAATAATAAAAAGTGAATGTTTCACAATCTTTTTCAAATTATATCTGTGATTTTGGTTTAAGTGAGTTAATAAGATACAAACAAATGTTAATCAATTTGGAATATCCCATGTTCATCCAATTCACAAACAAATACATATAAGATCATATAAGGAGTATGCAGGAGACATAAAAAGTTATTCCAGTGCGAAAAGGTACTTTGTAGAGATCTGATGAGTTAAGCCACTTTCAACTAATTTTTATAGTTTGTTCTTATGTTGTGCTGTAACACCACTGTCCCAGTTTAGGGGGAGGGTAGTTTGTTCTTATGTTGTGCTGTAACACCACTGTCCCAGTTTAGGGGGAGGGTTGAGCGCTCACAAACATGTTTAACCCCGCCCGATGTATGTGCCTGTCCCAAGTCAGGAGTCTGTAGTTCAGTGGTTGTCGTTGGTTCATGTCTGTCATACTTGTTTTTTGTAAATTGTTTTGTTATAAATTAGGCCATAATTGTTTTCTCAATTGAATTGTTTCATATTTTTCATGTTTTGGCCTTTTATAGCCGACTATACGGTAAGGGTTTTTCTCATTGTTGGAAGCCATACGGTTGCCTAGAATTGCTTACATCCACTTCATTTGAACTTGGGTGGAAAGTTGTCTCATTGGCAATCTTATCACATCTCCCTATTTCTATATGATCAAAATCAGCTATGAATAAACGACTTGCGCAAAAGAAAGAACAATCTTGCACTGTACTTGTCTAAAACATCATACAAAACCGATACAACTAGCACATGAGAGGAAAACATCATACAAAACCGATACTACTAGCACATAAGAGGAAAGCTTTACCATTCGCGTCGGTAATCGGTGGGGGTTTTGTTACTTAAATTAGTTTTCTATGAAAGGTTTTGTGGACTTCAATTGATCCTTTCGGTTTTTGTCTTTTGTTTCCGGTGTTAGCTTGTGTTGCCTTCTCGATATTTCTTTTTCTTGCAGTATTTTAATTAATATTGCTATGTTTGTAATATGTCTTGATTTAGAATATCTTGAAAAAACCGAGCTGATTTATTTCAGTCTTGAGAAAATCATCGTCAAAATAGGTATTATAGCCCATGTGCATATCTATAGTTTTAGTATACGTTATTTAACGAGATACACAACTTTATGTGCATTTAATCATAAATACCAAGTTACTGTAATTTACACTTTTTTTTATCTTTCAAAAATGAATGAAAATTGTGGATTCATTCGGTAAAAAGTTAATTATGATTTATTAGGTTTTCAGGTGTGTTAAATCGTGAAATTAAAATCCTGTACGAAATACCTGCTATGTTCTAATGATGATACATTTAAAAACTAATCTGGTTTTTCCATAAAAAAAAAATGTGTTACAGTGTGTACCCACATAAATTTCAAGTAAACTCTTTTCCTCCTATTGATAAAAAATGATATGTAGGCATATAACTTTGAAAGAAGGTTTCTAATTATCAAAACCAAGGATGAGTTTGCTAATCAGAAAATACAGAAACGGAAGACCATGTTTTCGAGATACACTTTTGGAGATGGGGCTCGTAAAAATATCCCATATCAATTATGTATGACCGTGGTATTCTAATTTTTGCTATCTCATCAATTCGTCAACAAAATTGAAAGTCAATATACAAAAATTTCATTAGAAGGTCCCTTTGTTTCAATGTCAATACGAGATGTACTACTTGTTTCATTGTGTTGTTTGGAGGCCGTCTCATAAACGTGCACCTAAATTTCTTATATCGATAGGCTAAAAATAAAATAGGTTGATTGATTGTTGATTATTGTCCAGTGGCGAATATTTTATGCACATATCAAGACGACAATGTGACATTGTAAAATTATAACAATTGTGTAATTTGATAACTTTCGTTTTTTAAGAACAAATCACAGTATTTTTGTCACGTCTCGCTTTGCATATTAAAAATACCAACAGTTATTCGTTTGTTTCTGAAAAGAGAAGACAGTTTGCGGTTTTAATTAAGCATTCTGAGACAAGTAGGCTGTATATGACCCTGTTGAATCTCCTGCTGACTAGTGTTTTATTTCTTAAAATGTAATTTAACAATAATCAAGTCTTTCCGTTACGAATTTTTACAATGTTTTACTTTGTACCGATTTAAGTTTTTAAAATGTTATTCTTTGATCGCAGTTTTAAGTTTGAATAAATGTTCCAAAATACAACAGTATAATGTCAGAACCTCAAAATACGCACATGAAAATTGTTTGGTATTGTGAAAAGTCTTCAGTGAAATTTGGTCCAACCTCTTTTTAATTAGTCATTTTAATTTAAGAACATAATAAAAGGCAAACGAGTACGATCCGTCTTGTTGGTCATAGACAGTCAATAAACAATTAAGGTTCAAAGAAAAATACATGAACGTGTGTACTCAAATCGTTAAAAAGATGCACCTTATTTATTAAAAATCATTTTAGTAGTTATGTAAATGTGTCTTTGTTCGCAATATAATGATTCGACCTTGAATAATTCTAAATATGCATGGTTTTCCCAATAAAAATAGTTTAATGTGTTATGTATGTAATAACAAATATATCATTATATAGCATTTAAAACAGGGTCTACTGAATTGATCTTTAATAAAATAATTTTTAAATATAGGTATTTCATATAAAATGACAATTACAACGTCGTTAATGTAGTCTCCGTGTGAAACTCTTTTCCTTGCAATAATTCTTCATATATATATTTATATATGTCAAAAGCCAACTTCAAAGTTTCAATCGTGAATATCAGAAAGGCAAATAAATAAAATGTCTTTCAAGGCCTAAGGTACAACGCCTTAATGAAAGGATTTCATCAGAAAACAGGTATAACCTTAAATTTCCAAAACCCAGAAGCACCAATGTTGTATAAGCCGAGTTGCGATCTTAATGGATTTTTTAGTCATTTACTATTTTTTTATGTTAAATGTTTGACATACTTACCCAAACTTAAAAGGGTCTTGTTTTTACAAGGTGTTTTCTTAAGCTAACAAATTTAAGGCTTAGTGAAAGATGGACACATGGTTCAAGATAACATCCGGAAACCAAAATTTTACCCAACTTTTATTCTATCAATTATTGCTGCGGTGACCTTGACCTTTGACCTATTGATATCAATACGGGTCTCACCCCTTGTAGCGTTAAGTAATTTTGTATAGCTCAAACGATTTTGTCAGGAAGCTAACATATTGATGACCGGAATCTGACGACATTCATCATACTAGGGACATTTCAAGCATTTGTTTTATCAAATCAAACTTAAGTAATCAATTATCTGTTGAGATTAGTTTATGTTTAAGCAGCTTCCACGGACCTAAAGTCACAACATGGTCACAATTTTGTTTATGGCAGTGGCTATTTTGACGGCTCTATTGAAATTTTTATATTACTTCAAAAAAAATTAACAGAAATGTACAGCACACATGCTAAAGTTTATAAATTGAAGTTAAGTTCCTGTTTTAATAATAACTCATTCTTACAAAATAATTCAGCATTTTTATTGTGACTTCTTTTTACAGTTTCAATATGTTTTTGCTTGGCAATGTTATTAAAATTTTTAGTGAATTTTATGTATTGTGTATGCTATTTATATCAAACTGAAATAATAACATTTCAATTTTTCAGTTATGATGATAAAAAAGGCAGTGGCTATTTTACCAGCTCTAATAAAAATTTGTCTTTTGGATACCATAAAATGGTCAGTTTTTCCTATCCTCTATATGGAAAGAGAAGCAAGAAAAGTGTTCTGTGAAAAAGACTGCTGACCCTTTTACTATGACAAAGAAATAAGATGTGGTATGGTATGATTGCAGTGACACAACTATCCACGACAGACTAAATCAAGTGGATATAAGCAACTATACATATGTAGGTTACCATACAGCAATTAACAATGAGCAAAACTCGTTCCATATATTAAATATAAAGGAATGGTGCCAACAGTGAAATTTCAGCTGCATTTTTTGATTTGCTTCACTTGTGTTGTTAGAATACCATATTTGGATAAACTATGAGAACAATGCAAGGGCATGAACTATACTGAACTTTGAGTATGAGGTTCAATTCAAATGAATAAAAGACCAAGATCTCCTTGTATAAACAAATTCAAATATCCACCTTACTTTATTTATTCCATCCTAAAAAAAATATTTTTCTAGGTGGTCATAAAATCAGTCCTGTATACTTTATATATGCAAACTTTTCCAGAGGACATTACCCCGGTATATTACCTCCTAGTTTTTTTTGTAGGGGTTCTTGTTGCTGAGTCTTTATTTTTTATGTAGTATTTTTTACACTGTTGTTTGTCCTTTTTGCCATTATTTTGCAGCTCTTTCTTTGACTTATGAGTCTCCCTTTGGTATCTTTCACATTTTAAAATTTTTCAGATTTTAAAATAAGGTATATATATTCATCAATATTAAACCCCAACCTTTGCAGCAAAACTATGACTTAGCTAGAAAACTTGTCATAAGTGACTTTTGTATTAAACAATCATGAGACCAAATGTTTGTTGTACAAGTCCAGTAAGACAGAAGCATTCATCCTTTAAGGTGTTCATGAATATTTATGCTGCTAAATGACAAGTAATTCAACAAGGCACTCTGAAGGAAGATAATCTTGGTTGGCTATAATAAACATAAACATTTTCTTTAGACATGAATGAAATGATATAATCAATTAGCACTTTGATACAACACAAATTACTATAGTATCCTGTAACTAGTAGGTCTTATAACAAAACATAACAGAAATAAAATTTCATAGAATCCATGAACACGATCACCTTTTCATAAACAATAGTCTAGGTATAAACTTAGTATATTCAAATTTAATCTCTGCCTCAAGGTGCAAATGTTTAGTTTTTGCATTATAAAAATCTATTCTACTTTCATGGTTATCTTAAAGATTCCTTCTTAAAAACAACCATCAAAGACAAAACTATAAAGTCATGAAAACCAAACACTATATCTTCAATAGCAATTAAGAGACTGTCTCACATTGTTCCGTAGTATGACAAGTTAAATAGAATTCCTGACATCTAACATTGTTTAGTTCTTCTCATACAGAAATACATGTTATACATTTTAAATATGTCCCTCCTAATTGCACAAGCACAAATGTGTACATTTTTTTAAAAGTAAAATCACAAGAAAAACCTTCAGCAATGTTATCATCTTTATCAAGACTTGTATTGAAAGTAATATTCTTGTCTGCTCCTAGACCTTTTTTCCTTCCATTGTTCAGTATGTTTACTCAAGTTCAACAGGTTCATAGGTCATACTGTTTTGGAGTTTTGATTCTCCTTGTTCTTGTGGCTGCAATGGTAGACAATGCTGGTTTGGGTGTTGCTGTGTATGATGTTACTGAAGTGGTAGCTGTAGATTTACTAGTCTTGGGGGTTGCAGAATGAGTTGTAGTACTAGCCTTTTGGACTACGGACCCCACATGAGTTGTTGTGCTGGTAACTGGGGTCTTTTTAGGTGTGGATTCATATGTTTTTGTAATAGTATAACTGCCTATTTGTGAAGAGCTTGGAGTTACAATGTTTGTGGATGTTCTTTGAATGACGGGACTAGATTCCAGTAAAGAATTTACTTTACCTAGAGTTTCTGAGGTAACAATAGGTCTGATTGTTCCTGATCCGGTGGTTTGGACTTTAGTTGTGGACGGTGCAGAATGTATAATACTTTTATCACTTGTCAGACTGACAGTTACTATATTTCCTTCAGTCACAGTGCTGACAATAGCTGGTCTCTGTGGCCGTGGAGGAGATGTATCATCTGTTTCCATGGTCATTGTTCCAGAGGACTCCATTTGATTTCCTTTACTGGTTACAATCTGAACTGTAGACGGTTTGCTGATGTCAGATAGGCCTGGGCTTGGACTTTTAGTGGCATTTGAACTTGTAAGTATTTTAGCCTGTGCTAATGTAGCTGTGTTTGGAAACTTGATCAAGCTTGCTGTGGTTAGAGGAAAATCATGAAACTGTAGTTTCTGAATGGCCTGAAGTTTCTCACTATCAGTCTGTGTAGTTGTAGATGAATTAATTGGAGAGCCGGACGTCTGACTTGTGGATGAGGAGGCATCAAGTATACTTCCTGGAGAAACCATAGCAGGAGATTTTAACGATGACAACAATGTCGGAAGTGATTTCTGTGTCTTGGATTCTGTTGTTCTATTAACAGATGTATAAAGCAGATGTTGAATCTGACTTGTCATTGACTGAGCTGATGTTATATGTACAGATGGTTTGTATCCACCAGTCCTCAGAGCATTGTGTAATGAAGTGAGTGTGGAAGCTAAACTTGGTAAAGTGTTCTCCGATGATGTCTGTAAATGTTTTGACAGCATGCTTTCATTGTGATTACCAACCGATTGAACCGAGGTTAAAGTATTGGCTGATACCTGTCGAACACTGTTTAAATGAGAACTGCTGGCTAGTGATGCAACAAGAGATTGTTGCGCTGCTTTAGCTGCAAGTTGTGCCTTAATATCGGCAGATGTCAGAGAACTTGCTAATGCCTGATGTGCAGTAGCCTTAGCAGCAAGCTGTGCCTTCAGATCAGAATATAAAGCAGATCCTTCCTTCAAAAGTCTATTCTGCATATCTATCTCTTGTTTTATGTCATGTATTTGTCTCTGTCCTCGTAACAATCCAGATAACTCTGGTGCACTCTTCATAACATGAGTTGTACCCGGTGAAAACTTTGAGTCTGGTGCAGACTTAATTCTCTTCCTTGGTGGAGCCAGAGAACTATGAGTGGATTTTCTCTTGGGCACTATAGTTGAACCTGAAAAATTCATAATTGGACTCAATGTAATATAAAAGATAATGAATGATACATTTAACAGACTGGGTTTTATAATTGACAAACTTTAATGAATTCTGGCTTAAGTTGAATATGCAGACAGAGGTCAAAAGTGTTTCACAACTCGAAAATTATATTTAAAAAAATAAAAAATAAAAAAACTTTTCTCCTTGTTTGATTTTAATTAAATGTTTACTGTTAAAATCATAAATGAGCAGATTTTTATGGTTACCATAAAACACATTTGCAACAATCTTTTTTTTTAAATTTGTTTTTATATGAAATATATGAGTAATTTTTGAGGGGTGAAACACTTTTGACCTCTGACTGACAAATGGTCCTTTTTAACATCCTTTTTTACCTGAATTTGACTTGGTCTTGTACAAAACTGCAGATTTGTAATATTTTGTTGCTTTAAGGTGTTTTCTTAGATTTTCACTGCAGAAATTTTCCTGAAACCTTGAAAATAAACTTATACAGGTTTTAAGATTTATAATGCATATATCAAAAGAAACATGGGCAGATTTGATCAACTTTGACTAGTTTGAGTCTATTTTCCAAAACTTAACAGATTATGATTTTTTTGTATAAATTTTAGTATTATTAAAATATTCAATATGAATATAAAGGAAAGTTATAAATACCTGAATGTTGAACTTTTGTGTCAACTTCTGTTTTTATATGACTTGCCCCTGAAACTGTCATTAATTTCTCATTCTGAAATAAAAAGATAAAGATTATTAGTACTATATATACTAATAAAAGTTCTGATCTTCATGTTCATAATACAATTTAAGTAAAATAGGTGGCAAGAAGATTAATGGCAAAATATATAAACAAACTGATAAAAATATGAGAAGTATTTTAGTGCAAATATGTATTTTTAGAAGCATGAGAATTCAATTTTGATAAGTGTATGTTCCTACAATACCGTAGATTCATTACTATTTGTACAATACCAATTTTCATGGATTTCGTAGGTACAGGTGAACCACGATTTTAAATGTTAGACAAATTACAAATTTTCTATAGGCTTGTATGCAGACTAGTGCAAAACCATGAAAATAAATATTCCCGAAAATGCAAGTTTTCCTCAATCCATGAAAAATTGGTATTAATAAAATAAATGAATCAACAGTATTATAATTTAAGGTTTTAAATCTGTTCTCCTTGAAATCTTTTAAAGTTTAAGTTTCCGGAACATTTGATCAAATTATTTCATAAAGATTATAACATTCTTTATTTGCAATGGAGATTAAATATTGTTCTTATCAATGTGTAAATTTGTAATTTGAAATTTTTTCAGAACAAATTTACAGCAGTGTTTTTATATGTCTATTAACAAATCTTATCTATAAAATTTATACTTAATTTAATTTTACAATTCCAAGTTTAGAAATAGAAATTTATAAATGAATACATATAGACACTAATTACAAAAAAAGAAAAAAATCCTTTTTGAATTCTTTAGATCAGATATTTCATAATAAATGTTTTGATTCAGTTGCTTGTAAACAAAACAACTGATAAATAAGAGTGCTCACATTAAAATGTTTCGCCTGCTTTACTGACCATTGATTTTATGATGATATATATGAAGTTTTACTACAAGTATCACATAAACTAAACATGATCCAAGAAAATGAGGTCAAGGTCAGTTAAAACAAGCCAGAAATACATGTACACCTTACAATCATTCCATACACAAAATCTGGTTGACCTATTGCTTATAGTATACAAGAAACAGACCAAACCATGAAAACTTTATATTGACCAATGAACCATGAAAATGAGATGAACCCTGCCAGACAGACATGTATACCTTACAGTCATTCCATGCATCAAATAAAGTATCTAAGAAACAAACTTAACCAGGAAAACTTAACATTGACCAATGAACCATGAAAATGAGGTCAAGGTCAGATGATACATTCCAGACAGACATATACACCTTACAATCATTTTATACACCAGATATAGTTGACCTTTTGCTTATAGTTTAAGAAAAACATACCAAAACACAAAAAATGAGGTCAAGGTCAAATAAAACCTACCAGACTGACATGCACATCTAAAATATTTCCATACACCAAATATATAGTTGACATATTGCATACAGTATTGGAAAAACAGACCAAAACACAAAAAACTTAACTTTAACCACTGAACCATGAAAATGAGGTCAAGGTCAGATGACACCTGACAGTTGGACATGAACACCTTACAATTATTCCATATACCAAATATATTAGACCTATTGCTGATAGTATCTGAGAAATGGACTTGACCATAAAAACTAAACCTTGTTCACTGATCCATGAAATGAGGTCAAGGTCTAATGAAAACTGTTTGATAAGCATGAGGACCTTGCAAGGTACGCACATACCAAATACAGTTATCCTATTCCCCATAAGAGAGAAATTAACATTACAAATTTTTTTCAAGAAGTCCCTGAACCATAAAAATGACAACGGACATATGACAGACGGAAACTTCATAACATTTGGCATCTTTATACAAAGTATGAAGCATCCAGGTCCTCTACCTTCTAAAATATGAAGCTGTTAAGTAGTTAGTAAATGCCGCCATCGCCGCCAGATCACTATCCCTATGTCTCACTTCCTATAAAAGTCATTGTGAAAATATGAATTATATTAGGATTAACCAGTATGGTAATTGTTTACTAACAATTGATTTTTAGTACCAATACTTTTAAATATGGATCTATTAACAGATGTAAATATGTTAATAAATTTGTTATAAGGGAGAATAAAATGCTTCGCTGGGAGCAGCTTGATACGACCACAGAGGTCGAACCCTGAACAGTTGGGGCAAGTATGGACACAACATTCAAGCTTAAACAGCTCTGAATTTGGATTGTGATTAAATAGTTGACACAGCATAGGTTTCTGACACAGAAAGAATGTGGTCTAAGAACTTGAATTTTTTTAATTTACCTATTATGGTCCAATGTCCAAAATCAAAATACATGGTTAGATTCAGCATATCAAAGAACCCCAAGAATTCAATTTTTGTTAAAATTAAACTAAGTTTAATTTAGGACCCTTTGGACCTTAATGTAGACCAATTTAAAAAACGGGACCCAAAATTAAAAATCTAAATACACGATTAGATTTGGAATATCGAAGAACCCCAATAATTCAATTTTTGATGAAATCAAACAAAGTTTCATTTTGGACCCTTTTGACCTCAATATGAACCAATTTGATAGCGGGGCCCACAAATAAAAAATCTAAATACATGGTTAGATTCAGCATATCAAAGAACCCCATATATTCAATTTTTGTTGAAATCAAACAAAGTTTAATTTTGGACCCCAACTGGGACCAACTTGAAAACTGGGCCCATAATCAAAAATCTAAACACATGTTTAGATTCAGCATATCAAAGAACTCCAAGAACTCAATTTTTGTTAAAATCAAACTAAGTTTAATTTTGGACCCTTTTGACCTCAATATGAACCAATTTGATAGCAGGGTCCACAAATAAAAAATCTAAATACATGGTTAGATTCAGCATATCAAAGATCGCCATATATTCAATTTTTGTTGAAATCAAACAAAGTTTAATTTTGGACCCCAATTTGGACCAACTTGAAAACTGGGCCCAAAATCAAAAATCTAAATACATGTTTAGATTCAGCATATCAAAGAACCCCATATATTCAATTTTTGTTAAAATCAAACAAAGTATAATTTTGGACCCTTTGGACCTAAATGTAGACCAATTTGAAAACTGGACCCAAAATTAAAAATCTAAATACCCGGTTAGATTCGGCATAACAAATAAATAAATGTTGTCCAAGATTTTACAAATCTAATGCGCCATACTGTGCAATTAAAGATTACTTCTTGAAATTTTTCAATATTTGAAATTTGAAAAAAAAAATAATATTTGAAGAATAATTCTTTTTAATTTCTGAAATCTGAAATGAGAAAAAATTGACCCCCCACAATTTCTTTTTACCCCCCCCCCCCCCCCCTTTTTTCCCCCAAAAAATTCTTTCCCTCAAGATATGGTCATAATCTCAATTCAAATTTCCAATGGAGTTTGCAACTATAATTACCCATTTAAATTTACCATAGCGCTAACTTAATCTATTTTATAATAGAATTTAAAATATAGTGTCAACTCTTTCATATGGATTTTTTTGTAAAAAAAAAAGATGCAACATTTGCAGATATTTTTACTGGTCTTCCTTTATAAATATGCATTTCTTTAAACATAATTTAAAAGCAGTGTAAGGGAAGTAACCAAAACATTGTATTTGGATTACCTCCCTTACACTGTTTTAAATTATCTTAATTGTTCATTTTCCATTACTTTATACATAATTTAAAAGCAGTGTAAGGGAGGTAATTTCAATGATGTATTTGATTTATCTCCCTTACACTGCTTTAAATTATGTTTTGTACTAAAGTATTTGTCCATTAACCAGGACAACCTTGTTTTTCCCCCTTTTTTGCCCCTAATTCCTAAATGGTTTGAGCCATAACCCCCGAAAGCAAATCCTAACCATCCCTTTGTGGTATGGAAACTTGTAGTATAATTTCAGAGAGATCCATACACCGTTCCACAGTTATTGTCTTGAAACTAGAAAATGCTTATTTTTGGCCCCTTTTTGGCCCCTAATTCCTTAACTGTTGGTACCATAACCCCCAAAATCAATCCCAACCTTCCTTTTGTGGTATTTAACCTTATGGTAAAATTTCAGAGATCCATTCACTTAAACTAAAGTTAGAGTGCGAAAACCAATGTGTCTTCGGACGACGACAACGACGACGACGCCAACGTCATACCAATATACGACCGCAAAATTTTGCGGTTGTATAAAAACATTGTTGAGTTTGGTGAATTAATTTTATCCTCATCCCAGTTTGAAAAGACACTTGTATAAAAAGCATACCCTTTTTTTAGGTTTCTTCTTCATCTCAGCATCTGAAGCCTCTGGTGTTTCTACATATTGGGATGTTGACTGTGATAATATTCCACCAAGAAATTCAGATATTTCATCCTAAAAAATGTGAACAAAACTCTTTACTTTTTTACGGCAAGATAGTACTGTTTCTGGGATTAGCTAATTTAATGACACCACTTTATCATTCCTTGATAAAACCAATAATAACTAAGACACTAATTTGATCATTTTGATTGTATCCATGATTCATGCAGATTTTTATAAAATCATTGAATCATGAAAATATAACTATTTTTTTATACTACATTTTCTAGAAATTCAGCTTTCACTTAATATCATTTCAAGCTTCCAAGTAAACATGTCAAACAATACTCTACAGTAGTTACCTGTAGAAATTTCTTTTCTTAAAAAGAGTGAATAATGATTTAATGATGCAAAAGGGAAACTCCACAGCAAGTAAAAATATCTATGAGACTGTCAGACAACTAAAAAAACATTTTTTTTATATTCAGTTGGTTAGCTTACTGGCCTGGGCTATCAGACTTATTTCCATCTAATGAACCCCTTTTACAACAGCTAAGTCATCCTTGGTGTTGTAGCTTCTCAACATCATGCAGTCTGGAATCATGACCTAATCCTTGCTTCATGCCTACTGCCATCCAGTCAGCAGCCAGACCTCCAAAAGATCCAAGTGCATGTAGTATACAGACAGACTGTGAGCCATCTACCCCAAAACTCGTAATGTACAACATGTCCACTTCAGTATTGTTTTAAATTTGTTCTAGCTCATCCTTGAAGACCTAAGGGTGACTTTCATTTAAATGAAACGAAATTAATGCATCACTCTCTTGCTTCATTATTTTTATTATATTTTATTTTATTTTTTTTTCACCTGTAGATATCCTTTACTGGTCTTAATCCAGTAAATGTCATTGAATGTAAGAATGTCAGTGTTTTTCATGAAAATTCCTATTTCTTTTTTAAAACCACTCAATAATAATCTGATTTGGCCCTACCTTCATATGTCATAAGTTTAACAATTTTGAATAAAAAGTACTAAAACTTACCAATATTTTTTTGTCACACACAATCTGTGTAATTCCTTCTTGCTTTCGTTTGGCCCTAGACATTCTGAGTTGGTTATCAGCTCCACCAATAACAACTAAAGCATTCTCTGCTCTCATTCTCTCACGGAGATCTTCCATATCATCCATATTTGTTGTTGTGGAGTTCTGGCCAATCACGAACAAAGAGGGAGTTGTCAGGTCTAGTAATGAATCTTCAATATCCTAAATTTAAAAAGAAGATACTTCCTTGAAAGAATCTTAATTGCAAACGCATAAACATGCTATGGTAAAATAAACAACATATATTATTCAATATAACACATGGATAGACAGCAGAGAACAAAAGTAAATAACTACATGGCAAATGTAAAGTTCTGAAAGTATATGAGATCTAATATTCCATGCTGTGTTTTTTCAGAATTACATAATTAAATAGTGGGAGACTTATTAGCACTTAAGGTATATGCTAATGTTTATGATTATTAGGCCAAGAACAATAATACTTCTATAAAAAATGTGTTGACAAATATCGATATGATGGACATCTAAAACACAATGACATTTGTCTTCAATAAGATTGAACTAATAAGCTAATTTAACTAATCATGGATTACAATAATTCTGATCACCATAGATAAGCGTGTAAAAGACTGCAAATGCTATTAAGACAAAGCAATTTGATTTTTTTTGATTTTTTGTTTGCTTTGTCTGAAAAAAAGTGAAAATAACAGTCACTATTAAGATCCCTGTTTCAAACTTGATCTGAGTTTTGTGGTAATAAGCATTGTTTATAAGTTGCATAACATTTGGTTGAGGCAAACTTAAGTTAGAGAACAGAAACTAAAACCAGCATTTTTTCCATTTGTAATGTGACATAACTCTAGAAAGGTAAAAGTGTTTCCACACTAATTCAAACTTGATCTGTGTTTTGTGGTAATAAGCATTGTGTATAAGTTTCATAATATTTGGTTTAGGCAAACTAAAGTTAGAGAACGGAAACCAATTTTGGGACAAACAGCCGTACTAACGTACTGACGGACAAGGGTAAAACTTAATGCCTCCTCTGCTGCGGCGGGGTGTAAAAAATAATTGTAATCACTGTGAAGTATTTCATTCATATATATGGGTAAGTGTAACAGTGGCCTTTCACTTCCTAGGACTGTTTAATATTGCCCTTTACTATTATCTAACTTTAATCCAATAATAAGCTTTATTTTCATGGTTACATGTTCTACTCACTCCTCTGTATCCACTGATGCCACTCAATGGTAGACCAAGACATACCACAGCAGACACAGTCTCTTGTAGTGCCACCTAAAACATATATACTATTATTATTTGATAAATAAATAGAACAGCGTTCCAATGTTTGCACTGATGCACATATTATATCTGTCCAAGGGCAATAACTCTAATATATTTTGTTTGGCTCTTTTAAACTTTTTCATAGATTTCCTGAAAGAAATGTAGGAGCGAGATTGCTTACAATGCAATTTTCCATTTATAATTTCTATTTCAAAGGGATATAACTCCTGTAAGAATAGTTGATCAGCACTGATTATCAAATTTGTCATAGATCTTGCTGATAGATAATCTGGATAATATCAGTTATACATGTAGTTCAAGCTTAAAAAAGCATTTCTTACTGCAATTCTAACTAGTCAAAAAGAAAAAAAAGTTGAAAAATCTAAATTAGTTTCAAAATCTCTTTTTTGTGTTTCTTATAAATGAAAGGTCATAGTAAAAGTCAATGATAGATTATAACATGTTTATACTTACATGACAAGCAATTAATGAGCCAGTATCCCATCCCAGTAAAACTATTGGCTTATGTTGAAAATGGCCTTTTAACTGAAAAATAACATGTTTATCATTACATAGAATCTTTACTTAATATTTGGGGCATTCAAACTACAAATTTATTTTCAAATAAAATTCTATAACTTGGCACAGTAACAGTTGAGTTATAGTTTTCCAATGGGTTTTTTTGTCAAATGAAAAAAAAAACATTTTAATTATAATGGTTAAGCTCAACTGTGTAATCCAATTGCATTCTTTATGACGGCTACCATATTTATAATAATAAACCTGATAGTCAACAAAAGTTTCATGGTTTAAGGTTCATTTATAAACCAAGCCAAGCTTACCTCCAAGACTTTAGTATGTACAGCTCCAACCATATGTTCTAAACACTGAGATATACCAACACCTTTACTGCCATTCACTGTGTGCATAGTGACAGGGATCACCTTGCCAAGGTTAGATAACTGAGAATTCCAGAATCTGGTTCTTTTAGAGTAAGCATGACCACCTGCAGATGGCACAGAGGGCGCTACAATGATCAGAGGATTTCCTGGCAACTTTTGCTGTAATTAAAATATATACAAATTACTACACTAATGTTACTTTTTTTAATTTACAAATTTCATAAATACTTATCTTTTAAAAGAAAATGTAAGAGTTCTTATTAGGACTATTCCAGAATTAATTGTATTGGGGTTGGAAGGCACCTTATATTAATAAAGAAGTGGGGTTCTAAACAAGTTTTCTTTTCACACTATAACTCAAAAATTTTCTATTTAAAATTATTTGGGTGGAAGTCTTTGGGGTAAATGACTTCCAAATATTCCATCATATTCAGGACTATAACACACAAGCTGGCAAGATTGCATTTAGCTGTAAGACATGTTACCCTAACCCTAAAGCATAATTCTGACTCTGAGGCAGCCAGTCTTTGTTCTTACTCCTAAATGCTATGTGCTTGTGGACAGGTAGCAAGTACCAAACAAAAACCAAAATTTTCTCTTTAGTTTGCGATGTACACATTCTATCTTTTCCTAAATTGATATTTTCTATATAGAAAAAAAATCTTTGTACTTTTTTATAATATTTATTTCAATAAAATATCAAAATACATGTATTTATTATATCCCGAGGAAATTATATAAATTTCAATTATTTGTTTTTGTTTTAGACAGCATCTAAAATTTTATTTAAATACCTTTTATCATCTTTTTCCCTAAAATTAAATGGTCCTTTAACAATTCTGATAACTTTAAAAGTATCTCATCAATAACTTACAGGTTTTTGTTGATTATAAGTACTCAAGACTGGGTCCCAAGGTCTTTTCAACAGTAAATGTAATGCTTCTATGGATGTTGCAGATTTTCCACTAGCTAAACCAATAGCCACCATTTTATCTATCATTGTTGGCAACTGTAATGTAAATTTTTCATAAAATAATTATTAACATGATTAAAAGAAATTCTTCCTGTGTTAAAAATATTATTGTGGCATTGTTTACAACCAACATCAATACAACATTGTTTACAACCGACATCAATACAACATTGGTTACAACCAACATCAATACAACATTGGTTTACAACCAACATCAATACAACATGGTTTACAACCAACATCAATACAACACCAACATCAATACAACATTGTTTACAACCGACATCAATACAACATTGTTTACCAACCATCATCAATACAACATTGTTTACAACCAACATCAATACAACATTGGTTACAACCGACATCAATACAACATTGGTTACAACCAACATTGGTTTAAAACCAACATCAATACAACATTGGTTTACAACCAACATAAATACAACATTGGTTACAACCGACATCAATACAACATTGTTTACAACCAACATCAATACAACATTGGTTACAACCAACATCAATACAACATTGGTTTACAACCAACATCAATACAACATTGGTTACAACCAACATCAATACAACATTGTTTACAACCAACATCAATACAACATTGGTTTACAACCATCATCAATACAACATTGTTTACAACCGACATCAATACAACATTGGTTACAACCAACATCAATACAACATTGGTTACAACCATCATCAATACAACATTGGTTACAACTTACATCAATACAACATTGGTTACAACCGACATCAATACAACATTGGTTTACAACCAACATCAATACAACATTGTTTACAACCAACATCAATACAACATTGGTTACAACCAACATCAATACAACATTGGTTTACAACCAACATCAATACAACATTGGTTACAACCGACATCAATACAACATTGGTTTACAACCAACATCAATACAACATTGGTTTACAACCAACATCAATACAACATTGGTTACAACCGACATCAATACAACATTGGTTTACAACCAACATCAATACAACATTGTTTACAACCGACAACAATACAACATTGGTTTACAACGGACATCAATACAACATTGGTTACAACCAACATCAATACAACATTGTTTACAACTGACATCAATACAACATTGTCAACCAACATCAATACAACATTGGTTTACAACCAACATCAATACAACATTGGTTACAACCGACATCAATACAACATTGGTTTACAACCAACATCAATACAACATTGGTTTACAACCAACATCAATACAACATTGGTTACAACCGACATCAATACAACATTGGTTTACAACCAACATCAATACAACATTGGTTTACAACCGACATCAATACAACATTGGTTTACAACCAACATCAATACAACATTGGTTTACAACCGACATCAATACAACATTGGTTTACAACCATCATCAATACAACATTGTTTACAACTATCATCAATACAACATTGTTTACAACCAACATCAATACAACATTGGTTACAACCGACATCAATACAACATTGGTTTACAACCAACATCAATACAACATTGGTTACAACCGACATCAATACAACATTGGTTTACAACCAACATCAATACAACATTGTTTACAACCGACATCAATACAACATTGGTTTACAACCATCATCAATACAACATTGTTTACAACCGACATCAATACAACATTGGTTTACAACCATCATCAATACAACATTGTTTACAACCATCATCAATACAACATTGTCAACCAACATCAATACAACATTGGTTTACAACCATCATCAATACAACATTGTTTACAACCATCATCAATACAACATTGTCAACCAACATCAATACAACATTGGTTTACAACCAACATCAATACAACATTGTTTACAACCGACTTCAATACAACATTGTTTACAACCGACATCAATACAACATTGGTTACAACCAACATCAATACAACATTGTTTACAACCGACATCAATACAACATTGGTTACAACCAACATCAATACAACATTGGTTTATGTAATTCTCAAGATTTATTGTGCTTCGTTTGATTTTATAAAATATTGATGAAATTTATCTTTATATTTTACTGTTTGTAGTTCAGATCTCAGCTGTCAATAGAAATTTTAAATGGGGAGTAGGTTCTCTTTGTACTAGCCATAAAAATTTCTATGAACTCTCTATGTGCCTGTCCCAAGTCAGGAACCTGTAATTCAATGGTTATTGTTTGTTGCTGTATATCATATTTGTTTTTCATATGTTGTTTTGTACATAAATCAGGCTGCTAGTTCCTCGTTTGAATTGTTTTACATTTGCCATGTTGAATCGTTTATAACTTGCTATACAGTATGTTTTTTTTTTATTGTTGAAGGCAGTACCATGACCTATAATTGCAAAAGTCTACATTGTTTGGTCACTCATAAAAAGTTTTCTCATTGGCAATCACACCCCATCATCTTATTTCTATATGGGCAGTTCTCATCAAAAGTTCAAAATTACAAAATTGGGTACATTATGTTACATGCATGACTACTTGCTTTCCTTCGAATTTCTTATAGCATCCTTAAAAACAGGGAATTTTGAAATACCATCTTGTTTCTAGAAAATATAGAATCACATATGTAATACATTCTATAAGAAAATCATTTCAGATAGCTGAGACTATGATCTAAAATCTCACAGGTAGAGATGAGGTTTGGAAGATATAGCTATCAAGCCAGTAACATAATTAGGGGTTTTGATTGCAGTACAAATCTCAGAATGATACAGATACATTTTAAAACCTATAAATAGGAATGTAATCAAGAGGAAATGTCAATCAAGAATTCCAGAACTTATCACTAAGACATTGAAAGAGGGTTGAAATATAAAATTTTATAGTGTTGCTCTTGATTGAGTGTTAATGGAATACTCTTACAAGACCTTAAGTACAACATATTACATTATTACAATCTTACCTTTGCCCTGAGGGTCTGTAATACATCTAAATATGATGCCAACATCTGAATGCTTAAGTTCTCTATCAGTAAATTATGTAACCATTGTGTCAATTTGGAATCCTGAAATATAATAATGTCTAAACTTATTCTATTGAAAAAATCTTATAGTTTCAGAATTCATATTCACTGAAAAGAGAAATTGATTAAGGTAAATTTTTTTTGGAAATTTTGGAAAATATATGATGCTGCATCTTTCAATGAAAACAGCAACATTTAACTGAGGGAAAGAAAAATTCTTAATTGACTTTCCAAAAGGATTGTTTTTCTCTTCGAAAATCTAGAACTCATTGACATACTGCATGAATGAACTGAAATGAATGATTTATTTGGCAAAAATAGCAATGTACATATTAAAAGATTTTAAAATGTTTACAAAGTACATGTAAACATCATTAAATGAAACAATAAAATGCTCCGCAGGGCGCAGCTTGATACGACCGCAGAGGTCGAACCCTGAACAGTTGGGGCAAGTATGGACACAACATTCAAGCTTGATACAGCTCTGAATTTGGATTGTGATTAAATATTTGACACAGCATAGGTTTCTGACACAGAATGAATGTGGTCTAAGAACTTAAAAATTTTAAATTGGACATTCACCTATTATGGTCCAATATCCAAAATCTAAATACATGGTTAGATTCAGCATATCAAAGAACCCCAAGAATTCAATTTTTTATGAAATCAAACAAAGTTTAATTTTGGACCCTTTTGACCTCAATGTGGACAAAGTTGATAATGGGGCCCAAAAATCAAAAATCTAAATACATGGTTAGATTCAGCATATCAAAGAACCCCATATATTCAATTTTTGTTGAAATCAAACAAAGTTTAATTTTGGACCCCGATTTGGACCAACTTGAAAACTGGGCCCAAAATCAAAAATCTAAATACATGTTTAGATTCAGCATATCAAAGAACCCTAAGAATTCATTTTTTGTTAAAATCAAACTAAGTTTAATTTTGGACCCTTTGGACCTTAATGTAGACAAATTTGAAAACGGAACCAAAAATTAAGAATCTAAATACATGGTTAGATTCGGCATATCAAAGAACCCCAATAATTCAATTTTTGATGAAATCAAACAAAGTTTAATTTTGGACCCTTTGGACCTCAATGTGGACCAATTTAAAAACGGGGCCCAAAATCCAAAAACTTAATACACGGTTAGAATCAGCATATTAAAGAACCCCAAGAATTCAAGAATAAAACCCCATTGAAATTGGTCAAGAAATAAGCAATTTATACGAAGTATCTTCTTTTGCACAATACTGTGCAATTGAATATTTCTTGCTATTGCGCAATACTGTACAATTGACAATTTCTTGCTATTGCGCAATATTGTGCTATTGGATATTTCTTGCTATTGCACAATACTGTGCAATTGAAGATTTCTTGCTATTGCGCAATACTGTGCAATTGAAGATTTCTTGCTATTGTGCAATACTGTGCAATTGAAAATTTCTTGCTATTGCACAATACTTATTATATAATAATTTACACATCCTGTTTGGTGTGTATCTCCTACCATATCATTATTATTTGCTTTTAAATATAAAACAGAAATAACCAACTTAAAATGGAAAATTTTAAAAGAAAAAAAAAAGAAAAAAAAGGACAAAAAAAAAAATCCCTTTGTTGAACCCCCTTATGATTCATCACCCCCAAACTCAATCCCAGCTATCCCTTTGTGGTATGGTACCTTGCAGTACAATTTCAGAGAGATCCATACACTTGAACACAAGTTATTGTCTGGAAACTAGAAAAATGCTTATTTTTGGCCCCTTTTTGCTAAACATTTTGGGCAATTACCCCCAAACTCAATTCCAGCTTTCCCTTTGTGATATGGAACCTTGTAGTACAATTTCAGAAAGATCCATACACTTACACACAAGTTATTATCATGAAACTAGAAAAAATGCTTGTTTTTTGCCCCTTTTTTGGCCCCTAATTCCTAATATTTTGAGGCAATTACCCCCAAAATCAATCCCAGCATTCCCTGTGTGATATGGAACCTTGTGGTACAATTTCAGAGAGATCCATACACTTGAACACATGATATTGTCTGGAAACTAGAAAAATGCTTATTTTTGGCCCCTTTTTGGCCCCTTATTCCTAAACATTTTGGGCAATTACCCCCAAACTCAATTCCAGCTTTCCCTTTGTGATATGGAACCTTGTAGTACAATTTCAGAAAGATCCATACACTTACACACAAGTTATTATCATGAAAATAGAAAAATGCTTGTTTTTTGCCCCTTTTTTGGCCCCTAATTCCTAATATTTTGAGGCAATTACCCCCAAAATCAATCCCAGCATTCCCTGTGTGATATGGAACCTTGTGGTACAATTTCAGAGAGATCCATACACTTGAACACAAGTTATTGTCTGGAAACTAGAAAAATGCTTATTTTTGGCCCCTTTTTGGCCCCTTATTCCTAAATGTTTTGGGTAATTACCCCCAAACTCAATTCCAGCTTTCCCTTTGTGATATGGAACCTTGTAGTACAATTTCAGAAAGATCCATACACTTACACACAAGTTATTGTCATGAAACTAGAAAAATGCTTGTTTTTGGCCCCTAATTCCACATATTTTGAGGCAATTACCCCCAAAATCAATCCCAGCATTCCCTGTGTGATATGGAACCTTGTGGTACAATGTCAGAGAGATCCATACACTAACACACAAGTTATGTCTGGAAGTTACAAAAATGCTTATTTTTGGCCCCTTATTCCTTAACTGTTGGTACCATAACCCCCAAAATCAATCCCAACCTTCCTTTTGTGGTATTGAACCTTATGGTAATATTTCATAGAGATCCATTCACTTAAACTAAAGTAAGAGTGCGAAAACCAATGTGTCTTCGGACGACGACGACGATGCCAACGTCATACCAATATACGACCGCAAAATTTTTTTGCGGTCGTATAAAAAGTACTGAGAAGTTTGCTTCCATGATATCAGAATTTGTTTTTGCTCTGGACAAGTGAATATCCCTTTTATTACAGGAGTTATACTATACAACTTAAAATGTATGTTTTTCTTGAATATTTCTGTTTATATTCTATTCTATTGTACTTCTAACAAATAGATTAGCATTACTTTGCCAGTTCTGTTTTTCATTTAAACAAACTTAAATATTATTTTTCTTACCATCACTCCCACTTTCCAATATTCTACTAGCTACAAATACAGTTGCTCATAACAATTAATTTTAGAATTTTGACATGACACCCTTCCACTGTAATTATCAATGAATTATTTAACAAGCCTACATATAAAACTTCTGACAGTAGACTTTTTAAATCTAATAAGCCCAGTAATTACTATTGTAGCATAATCATGAAAGTCAAAGTATAGACAAACTGATATGTTAAGAAGGACTTGGAAAACACTACACTGACTTTGTTTTTTAAAATACTGATTTTGCAAACAAATTACCCATGATACACCAGCCAGAGCTTGTCTGATACGTCTTGCTGTTTTGTCTATATGAATCCTTCTCATTATTGGTTCATTTTTTGTCTGTTAAAATAAGATAAAGATAGATTAGATTACAAATAAATGGTATATTATTTCACAAACTGACTTCAATGACTTAGTGGTCTCTACAATGAGTAAAGTCCTATATAATTTGACCAGATTCAATTTGGAGCAGTATTCTGATGACAACATTATTTAACCGACTGATACTAGTCATCTGAATGATTGTTTTACTGGTATCTTATGAAAATTTCGGACAAGTAAACCTAAGTTAAAGAATAAGTTTGTTCGCCATATCAAAGGTATGTGGTTAACTCTAGGTACTACAGTTTCCTAAACTTAAGAATTTCTGCTGCCTTAATCATAAACTATTAAAACATAAACATCATTGTAAACAGTCCTTTAAAAACTATTATAAAGAGTTATAAATTACTGACAGATATTAAAGATAAAACTATTCTTCATAACAATTTAAGATAACCTTACATCAACATAAGAAAGCCTGGCAAGCCTATCTGACTGTAACGCCTTCATCACTTTATTAAACAATCTGTTCTGTTGTAAACTCCATCCATTCCTTAAATAAATAAACGAACAATGATTAACTTACAAACAGACTATATTCAAAGAAATTGTAATAGAAAAGTGAGACATTACTTCATGTAAAACTACTGCTCTTTAGACCCATATAACTTACAGTGCCAATTGTGTACCCTTTATCAACAAAGAAATAAAATAAATGTGGATAGTGTCCACATGTGGACACAGATAATGCCCCCGCTTGCATAGCATATAGTTATAAAGGGGCATAACTGAAGAACAGTAAAAGTGACACTACCCAAATTTGAACTTGATCTGAGTTTTGTGGTAATAAGCATTGTGTGTAAGTCTCATAACATTTGGTTGAGGCTAGCTTAAGTAGAGAACAGAAACTAAAAATTCAGCATTTTTTCTATTTGTAAACACACATAACTCTAGAATGGTCGTGTATAAGTTTTATAACATTTAGTTGAGACAAACTAAAGTTAGAAAACGAAAACGAAAAATTCTGCAATTTTTTATGTTTATAATGGATATAACTCAAGAATGGTAAAAGTGTTCTCACCAAATTTCGTACTAAATCTGTATTATGTAGTAATAAGCATTGTGTATAAGTTTCATAACATTTGGTTGAGGCAAACTAAAATTAGAAAACGGAAACAAAAATTTGTACTTGATCTTAGTTTTGTGGTAATGAATATTGTGTATAGGTTTCATAATGTTTGGTTGGGGCAAACTTAAGTTACAGAATGGAAACTAAAAATTTTTCAATCTTTCGATTTATAAAGGGGCATAACTCAATAATGGTTAAAGCGACACTACCCAAATTCAACTTGATCTGTGTTTTATCAGTGGAAGTCAAAATTAAACATTGCATTGTATAAAGCATTGATTGTAGTTGATTCAACTATAATAATGGACAAAGGAAGATAACTCCAATTTTTAAAATTACTTGATATTTAGAAGAAAATAAAATTTTTGCAATTTTTCCATTTATAAAGGGGCATAATTCTAGAACGGTTAAAGTGACGCCACCGAAATTCAAACTTGATCTGTGTTTTGTGGTAATAAGCATTGTGTATTAGTTTCATAACATTTGGTTGAGGCTTTTTGACTCCGTCAAGGCGAGACAAAAATGTGTTGACAAATACCAATATGCTGGACATCTAAAACACAATGACATTTGTCTTCAATAAGATTGAACTAATTTAACTAATCATGGATTACAATAACACTGATCACCATAGATAAGCGTGTAAAAGACTGCAAATGCTATTAAGACCAAGCAATTTGATTTTTTTAAATTTTTTTGTTTGCTTTGTCCATGTTGTCTGAAAAAAAGTTAAATAACATTCACTATTAAGATCCATGTTTCAAACAGTAAGAAATAAATGGGGAATGTGTTCATGGGACACAGATAATGCCCCCGCTTGCATATTACACTATAAAGGAACATAACTCAAGAACAGTTAAAGTGACGCTTCCCAAATTCATACTTGATCTGAGTTTTGTGGTAATAAGCATTGTTTCTAAGTTGCATAATATTTGGTTGAGGCAAACTTAAGTTAGAGAACGGAAACTAAAATTTTTTCCATTTTTCCATTTATAAAGGGGCATAACTCTAGAACGGTTAAAGTGACGCCACCAAAATTCAAACTTGATCTGTGTTTTGTGGTAATAAGCATTGTGTATAAGTTTCATAACATTTGGTTGAGGCAAACTCAAGTTAGAGAACGGAAACCAATAAACGTATTTACACTTTTGGTATTTAGCTATATTTTTGCCTCCGAATGACCTTAGATCTACCCCGAATCACCTTTTGACTTCAGGCAACAATCACTTTTCAATTGTGACGTCAAATGTTTTGAATTATGATGTCAAAGTTTACGGGAACCTGTGTGATTTTACGTAATGGCGGACAAATTTGCATACAAGTGTAAATACGTCTATTTTGGGACGTACGTACATACTACGTACAGACGGACAAGGGTAAAACTTAATGCCCCCACTGCTACGGCGGGGGCATAAAAAGAATTTAACTGTCCTATTTCAAACTATCTATGACCTGTGACCCCTCACTTTTTAAAAATTTTGAATATACTATCATTGCATTCAACACTGTAACAAGGCCAGTGTATCAATTAACTTCATCATCCAGGTGAAAAGTGTAATTAGAGTCTAGAACCATCTAGTATCTTAGTGCTGTCATTGTAATTCTCTTAGTTGACTTATTAAGTATCATTGACAAGTCTGAATTACGTAAGAAATGAACTGACAATGATTTTGATGTGTTTACTTGAAAATATTGGATGGTTCAATAGGAAAGTTTGATCTTACCTTCGATAAATTGTCTGTATACTGTAAACCAACTTATTTTCGCGGATACTTTATTTCGTGTTTATTCCTTTCTAGTTCATTTCGCAGCGATTTAATTTTGCGATTCTCAAATTTCTTCATGTAGATAGCTAAGGAAAAATCCAAGTTTTACATATTCTCGATGATTTATATTCACGTTATTTTTCTACTCGCAAAAAACGCGAAAATAAATCGATCGTGAAAATTAGTTGGTTTACAGTATATACTGATATATACCATTGTATTTTAACCCACTGAGTCACAAGATAGCATACAAATTACATAATAATCAGTCAAAATTACAAGCTTAAATTAGTACTAATATGCATTTCCAATCTTTAAAAATTAAACATCAGCATATTTCATATCATACAGATGAAATCACAATTCATGCAGTAAGCAGATGTTTAACTAAGCAGTATAATGTTTGAAGCATGATTTCCCCAGTATGAATTGACAATGAAAGGGACGATGATGTGCAAAACTATCATTAATTTCTAAATATGTCACACACAAAATGTTTTCACGTCATACAACTGTTAAATCAAATAGGTTACAAATATTATAATTGTTACTTTTTTAGGTCTATAAAATCACTGTTCAAATACATATCTAAATCTAACAATTATTCAAATACTGATTATAATTATTATTGATAGTTGAATAAAATCATGTCAACTAAAACAGTTGACACATCACAGTGATCCAAAAATTGTTGCTGTGTTTTTATTTCAAATTTTATATAATAGTCTCATTCAACTCATTGCTAAGAAAAAATATCATTCAAATAATTTTAAATCTTTTGATATCTTAATTATGAATGAAATACTGGTTTCTTTCTATTATAATAATTGAACAAGCTATTAAACGTGAAATTAATGCAAGATGAAAATGAGGTGTTACCATGATCCCCATGAAATCAACAGACATTTGTTTAAACCTTGAAATTCTTTCTTCCCAGTCCTCTGGGCTTTCTTCTGTTCTCATAAGAGGCACATGTCGTCCACACTCCTGCATAAGACTTCTGGCTTTAGCTGTATCATATGGTGGCTTGCTGGGTTCTGTTACTGTACAAACATCTATTTCTGCTTCCCTGAAATAAAAAGACAACATGTTTATAAAAGAAACAACTGCTATAATGTTCCATCAAATTTTAATCACATATTGATCTTTATCTTTTCCTCAGTCATTCCTGTTTGTTGGGGTTTTTTTTGGCAAAGGTGGTGTTCTGGTGAAGTATGTGAGTTATGTCATATTTTGTTTGCAAATTTATTTATGTTTGTCTAAAAAATGAAGTGTGATATAAGTGCCAATGAGACAATTATCCATCAGAAGATCAAAGGACAATGATATATACATGTACCACTACAGGTTTCCTCTGGGCTGTTCCATTAAAACATACATTGTACCCAGGGAAGGCACCAGGGATGGGGTAATCGTAATCTGTAATCGTAATCGATTGTAATTGATTACATTTTTTCCAGTAATCGACAGTAATCTGTAATCGAAGATATTTTCATTTCATGTAATCGTAATTTAATCGATTACAGCAAAAATTATGATGTAATCATAGATTACTTTTCGATTACATTTCGATTACTTTGGTAAAATAGCTTGATGAAATATAATCTATTTTATATGAAAGTATGTATGTTTTCATCACTTTATAGTACAGATAAAAATAAAATGTATTGATATGACTTAAGAGTTTATCAAATGCCTTGTTTCTATCTATTGGCTCCAGCTGCTTCAACCAGATCTATCAAATTATACTGTATATCTAGCTTTTGAAACAAATGACTTTTCTTGCTGGTCAATAATTTAAGACCTTTTATTTAAAAATAAGAAAATAGATTTAAATAAGAAATAAGTCTTAAGTTAAAATCTTATTGCAGCAGTAAGCTCATTTGTATTAAAATTCCTTAAAGCATAATTTTTAATAATAGTTGGAATTTTAGCTTAGAATAGATAAACATTTGATTCATTATAATGTTATGACATAAAAATTACAAAGTACAAGAAATCCTTTTGACAATGAACCAATGGCTATGCATTAAAATTCTTGTTCAGAAATAGAGATACATGTTTCCAATTTTTGCACAAAAAAAAAAAATTGTTTATAATTTTGAAATGAAAATACAAAATTCTCAACAAACTTCTTGTCTTTACTAATCAGATGAACAAAGACTTCTAATCAATAAGATGAAGACTTTGTTTTGATTTCAATTATGTCTAATTAAGAGGAGATTTACATTATATGGCCCAGGTTATAATTGTACTCCATTGGCAGTATTATAGCCTGTAATTAGGGAGGTTGTCAAAACAAAAGGATTAATTCATGCATGTAATTACAAATCATAAATTTTCATCTCTAAAATTAGCTGAACTAATTAATTATTCTACTTTTTTATAGTTTTTTTTTCAGAGTAAACTTTCAACATTGTAATGAACTATATTCAAATATAGCTGTTAATAATGAGTAAAAACAAAAAACTTAACTTTAGTCAGTATGACAGCAAAATTTTGCAAAAATATGGAGATAATAACCTAAAATATAAAGAAGTGATTGATGCAATGTGATGCCATTGCAAGAACTTTATCACCAATCATTCATATTGAAAACCAAAATTTCTAGAATTTTTGAATATTTCGGATCCTTAGACAGTAAGAGCTTCCATCTAGAAAACAACTGTCAACATAAAATTTGGAAACAATGCTTTAAATGCTATTTTTGTAAAGTTCAAAATTTCCACTATACATACATTGAACAACATAATTGACTTTGTGTTTAACTTAATTTATTTAATTTGTAATTTTGTAGCATGTAATTGACAGTAATCGAAAAGTAATGTAATTACTTTTGCTAAAGTAATCGATTGCAATCGATTACATACAAAAATCAGAGTAATCGATTATTAATCGATTACACAAAAATCCTTCAAGTAATCGATTATTAATCGATTACATTTGTCAGTAATCGTGCCCATCCCTGGAAGGCACTTTTCAAACAGAGTGACCACCCATAGAAGCAATTTTAGAGTCCTGCCTACATTTAAACCCGTACAATACAATATTTCATACCCATCCATAGTGGCAAATTTAAGTTGCCTTCCCTGGGTCCCATGTATGTTTTTATGGAACAGCCCTCTGTTGTTGTTTTCGTCCTGTCAATATAATTAATACTCTTCATTCAAAAAAAAATACATTCAATATTTTTGTTAGTTTATATTCTGAGGATCTTGTTTTCATGTGGTACAATATTTCTAACTTTCTTTGAAAATCTTCCTTAAAGTATACACATATTATAAAAACAATTTCAACTATCTATTTACATGAATGACCCATCCCGGCTATCGGTACCTCACATTATATCATAGACCAGTCAATACTAAGATAATAAGTCAGGTCAACAGTGTATTTTATGGTGGTGAAACAATTCACAGAAGAATCTTTGAACCGGGATGTTTTTGCTTTGTTTAATAATAATAGTTTCGATTCATTTCATCTGTATTCAAGTTCAGTTCTGGTCCGGATAAATTCTGAGTGCTATCACTAGTAGCAAGATTTCAGTCTGAAACGGTCATTTTGGTCTGATCAAGTCTGAATCAACTGAATTTACCGCTAGGGAAAAACGTTAAGACTTTTTAAGACTTTCAGACGCTGTTCAGATATGTCGTGTTCAGTCCGTTCATTCATGTCAAGATAAACAAGACAGAAGGCTCTAGCTGTTAAACAAGATATGTTAAGACGGTTTTAGACGAATTCAGACCAAACATAAAAAGTAATGTTCAAATTTTCAAATCGGGTTAAGATCCGTTTAGTGTGTCAGAATGATATTAGGAGTTACGCCCCTTCATGTGGATGATACATTTTAATTATAAAAAAATTACAATATAAATGCTAGAATGAAAAACGTATATTTTTAATAATTAAACATAAAATCATTGGTTGACTTTTTATTTCTGTTGGTCTTTTTTTAAGAGATTAGTGATTTTGTTTTGTTGAGGAAATAACTTATTCGCCTATAACTGTTTATGATTTTATTTTATTTTTTATTTTCTGATGTTAATTTATGTATTTATCTACTTATTCTTTGAAAAGAAGTAATTGCAAATTTTAAACATAACATTATCAAAAGAGTGAAAACACCTTATAAATTTCATGCGTCTGAAGCACGTTTCTGGATTTAACTTCATCGGGAACGATCAACGTAAATACAAATATGTTTTATGTCAGATAATTTATATCCTTAATTTCGTTATCTTTCGATACTTTCCTCTAAAACTTAATAATTACTTCGTGGCATTTAGTAATCATTCCCCGTACGTGTTATTCTTTTTATATTTGGACAACCGTCTTTTTTTTTTTTTTTTTGCTTTTATTTCGTAGTGATGCGTAGTCACCAAGGCCGCATCAGGGAACCATGTCTCCGAGTGCAGTTAATATTCTGAAAACTGCACTTAGACCGTGACGAGACAATAAAACTAAAAATAACATACCATCGGAAAGAAGAAGATGTTGATGGGAGGGGGCGGGGAGGAGGTTACAGAATAGAGAATGAGTGGCAATAAATATAAAGAATAGAGAAAATGGATAAAAAAAATAAAGAATAGAGAATAATAAGGTGCTTGAATATAAAGAATTGATAATAATAGACAAAAAGTTTAAAGAATAGAGAAAATCGGCATAAAAAATTAAAGAATACAGAAATAAAGGACCCCCTCCAGATCCTCATAGAAGTTTTCGTTAAAACAATACAACCTAATTTAAGTTCAGCATCGAGTATATATCCTTGTAAATGCGTTAATCCTTTCTTTCATTTTAATAACAATTTTATTTAATATAAAATAATTATGTATTTATTTGTTTATTCAAGTTGCACTATAGCAAATAATTCTTCTTCGTTTTTTTCTTCCTATAATAGTAATAAATGTATTCGTTATTTAATATTTTCTGTCAATAAAGATTGAATTCGATGGCACGTGCCACTAATCAAAAATGATCCTTAAACTATCAAAAACTTGGCAATTACAATGGCTATTTCACAATTACATCATATGTACACCTGTCATGGTATCATAGCTCCGTTCATGTATGTGTAATTTAAGGTTCTGACACATTTTATAATAGCTTCTTTCTGAACACTATTGACGACATTGTTAAAACTGCACGAACATATCACAAAACCGCAAATTTAGTGGTTAAAAAATAAACGATAATGAAAAAAAAATAATTAAAAACTAAAAACAAAACAAAATTCTGTTGGAAGTAGCATATATTTACATGTATAAATTGTCTAGTGCTTTTATTACAGCGGTATACTTGTTTTATACACAGACCATATTCTGATCATATTCTATGCTAAGATATTGACAAGACAGAAGTAAATATGTTAAAAGTCGTTTTAAATCAATTCATTTCACAGCTGAGGCAAATGTTCCTTCCCATTGTTGAATGGAGGTTAAATAAATGTGAACAATAAAAAAGATGTATATTTCTTAGGCATGGAGCTAGGCATTTCTGAAGTATCTTTGATAGCATTTTTTTCCTATCAAAAATGTATGCTGGTATATATGTAACTCTAGGTGTTTACCTAAAATGTTATGTATATGTAAAAGTTTAAGATTTTTTTTTTAATATTTGCCAAAAAATAAAACATTATCCGGAAAACCATATAATGGCGTTTTGTCCTTTAATTCTTTTTTTGTGATTTTCTAACCTACCTTCTAATTGATACGTTAATCCAAACAGTGCAAGTGTGTAATGCAAACATACAAAATTCGGCTTTGGTGTATCATGTTAAAACAATACCCATAAATTATGATAATTTTCAATAATTTTAGATAAGATTATGCAAGGAAATGTGTTATTGTTTTCTATTTATCTAGCAAAATTGTATCTTTTTTTACACAAAGATGTCGATAAATAAAATTTGATACCCTGCATTTTTCATGCATTTCAATAGCATATTGTCAAATTGTTAAAAGATCTCCTCCTTAACAGGGAATCCATTAGTATTGAAAGTCCCTGTCCTAAATTATTGAATTTGTCATTCTGCATTGACAATATTCAATTTATCTTGGTGTAAGTAAT